AAGACATACAGTATATGACACTTAAGAGCTGAAATGAAAACAACGCCCATAAATATGCATTTTTGCAGTTGATGTGAATGCATTCAGATGAGGGACATCTGAATTTGTAGCAAGACACTGACATTACTAAATAAACTTTTAAATGGTTAAATTTAATTAACCACTGTTTAGGAAAATTCTTTTTTGACCTGTTAACACAGGGACATTTGAAACATGCTGTGATGTGTCACATCAGATGTGACAGTCTGATGAGATTCCACTGCCACTGTGAAATATTAAGAAAGAGTTGACCATTGTGTCAGAAAAAGGCATTTTCAAAAGTCATTCACATCAGAAATGAAGTCCTGGGTTGAATAGAAACATGAAAGAGCAGCTCTGACAGGAAGATGTAAAGAACTCCAAGTCTCCAAGTATAATTGAACCAGACCAGGCTCTAGTTTGACAGGACTGAAACAAAGTCCGTCAAATGCCATCCTTTAACCATCACAAAGAGTTAGCAACTGAGCTGAAGCATGCAAATATATCATCGCCAGCATCAAATATGCAAAAGAAACTGGCAAATGGCAAAAGAACACAGAAAAGGAATCAGGGCAGTGTTGTGTTTATGTTGAGGAATGATGTTTGTCTTGTTAATATTTGAGTGTTTGTGTGTGTTTAACTATAATCTAGATGTGATGTGTGTTTGTCTGTTTATGTAAACATTAGTTAAAGGATGCTCCTGGCAGATCTTACGTAACAATCCTTTCTGTCCTGATGCTAAACCGTTGCCCTGGCAACAGTATCTGCTGTACGCCATCCCCCTACAGCCACAGAGAGAGAGATCGTCTCTGTCTTTCAGCCTTCAACCGTTTTTCAGTCCCTTTTTAATCTTAAGCCCTCTTTAAATTTACAAGGAAAAGTCCGTCCTCACCCTCATTTCCTCCACTTTGCTTGGTTTACTTTTAACTTCTTCATTCTGCCCTCTACACTCCCCCACCCCACACACATTCTCCTATTCCCTGTTATCTTTATTATCAGACTCCTCCTTCTCTCGCTCATCCTCGAAACTAGTTTTTCCTCCCTCTCCCTCCATCTCTCTCTCTCTCTCTCTCTCTCTCTCTCTCTCTCTGCCTGTTTCTCTCTGCTCTGTTGATTTACGTTTTTGCATTATTTGCCTCTTCATTAACAGTCCTGCCTCTGTTTCTTTCATCAACATCTTCGTCCGACACTGCACCCCGCTCCATTTTCTGACCGACAATGTGCTGAAATAAATTATCAGGTTTTAGTCAATTATGTCCTTCCTGAAGTCCACTTCACAGCCTCCGTCCTCCTAACACCATTATAAGTCCCCCCCCCCCCCCCCCCCCCCCCGTTACCGCCGGTGCATTGGCAGAAAAGAATATTATAATAAATTAAAATCTTCATCTTTCACACATGGATCTGTCAGTCAGATTTGTGATTATATATGTAGCGACAGTGTCCATGCACAAAGACTAGAGAGACTAAAAGAAATTAAGATTTTAATTGGATACAGTTGGTAACAATCCAGCGTTTTCATTCTATATGTAGCCGATTGATCTTTGATGTAGAAGCGTGACTCATCTTGTCGCGGGAGATAAGATAAAGGAACAAAGGAAAAGAGTTGTCTTTAAGAAGATCAAACAGTGCACGGCTGTCCCCTGGTATTACACGTTCCTGTGGAGAAGTACAGTCTTGACTTGTTTCACTTTGTCAGGATGATTTACCAATAAGCTGCCAAGTTCCAGACATGCTCATGGCGAAGAGCTGCGGTCGTAGGTAAATATCATGATGTTGGAAGCACTGAATCTCATTAACCAACTATCAGTAACTATAGCAATAAGCATCCTGCACAAAAACCCCAGTGTAATGTCTACTAAAAAGGCCAAGAGGTTGCTATGACAACTGCAAGGGTAACAAGAGGAAGAAAGTTGGAGATGTTTTTTGGAATTGGAGAAAATAATCGACACAGACATCACACACACACACAGAGGTCTTCATGCTGCAAGTCCCATTTTCTCTGAAAAATCAAGACAGAAACTCATTGGACCCTGCACTACATGTCTGACTTAGATCACATCAAGAGAAAAAGTCAAATTAATCTATAGCAGTAGTAAAGAATTTCAAAGTACAGTGGAACCTCGGTTTGAACTTAATTCTTTCCTGAAGGCTGTTTGTGAACCAAAAAGTTTGAAAACTAATGTAAAATGGATTCATCTGTTCCTGGACCCCCCGATCATGATCTTATCTCTCCACCAATCAGCATCTACCATTACAGAGTCTGCCTTCACAGACCGTTTGAGGGGCTTCATTACTGACCATCCAGGAGCCTGTGTTTAATTCCCAGTGGACCGGTACATCTGACGGCCTTGTGCAGACTGTGTGTGTGTGTGTGTGTGTATATATGCTACTGTGATTGGAAGATAAGGTGGTGGGAGCAGCATCAGCATCAGAAACAATATACATGTATTGATTCTGTGTCAGATATGAAGAATGGCTACGTCAATAAAGAAAAGACGCCGACGGAGTTCAGTAGACTGTCTTTATCAAAAGTTTTCATTAAAGATGACTTTTTCTCAACTTTTTCTTTAAAGCCGGACGCTGACGTAACATTTAATTGACTTGTTTTTCCATGGAGATTGTATCAAAGAGATAAAATTGGCTGATGCTACAGTTTTAATTGACTCGGTTGCATTTTAAAGTGCTTCTTTCACACTACATTTCTACACGCTGGACTGCAGCTTTGCTATCAGCAGGCCACACTGAAATTAATCTTTGTTATTTTTGAGGAGAAATTCTGCTCTGTGTCAAAATGCATTTGCCCAGTGGACACACTGACCTGTGATACTGAGTAAAACACCTGAGGATGAAGATCTTAATTCTTCAGTTTTCAACTGACAGTCGAAGCTGTTCCCTTGAGATTAGACACTGAGTCTCATCTGCCTCCAATTCCTCTATTTAAATCTGCTAATGTTAATTAAAAGCAGTTGATTGCTTGACATATAAAGTATTTCTTGAAAGCGCGATGTCTATTATTTTTCTAGGAATTGCCATATTTCCTCAAGTCATCAAATACAGAAACACTCCTGATCTGATTAAATACAACTGTATTTTTAGAGTAACTGGTGAAAGAAAAGTGGTTTAAAAATGTGGCTTTTTGGAAGAGTAGAGGAAACGTTTTATTCCATCTTCACTCCTTAGACAGTGGTCTCATCACACGGCATCCATGGGAAAAAAAAAAAAAGAACCACCAGCCGCCCACACTACAGCACTTATCAAAGTGGATCAGTGCTGCATCATAACCACAGCAGTAGACAGACAGGAAGATGAAGGATATTTTTCTGAGTCAGGAAACAAAAACATTGAGAGAAACGCTGGAGGTTGACTTCAGAGTAGGACAGAAAAAGTCTGGAGAGTAACTCAGTCCATTAATGTCACACGCAAAACAGCCGACACTTGGTTCCTGTACTTAGTTCTTTACATTTCCTGTGATAAAGTTTATTAATGTTTCTGCAGAAGCTAACGCAAAACTCTGTGGTGAAGCAGATCTGCTGACACATCGAAAAAGGGAAAAAAAAACACACCATGAACAATCTTATTTCTCTCTGTTTCAGGCTACAGGATGTTTGGAAAATAATCCAAAATTCCTTACTGGTATCAGGGGGAAGAGTCTTATCTAATTCAGAGGAAAACATCAATTATTTGGCCGTTCACAGGAGATTTTTCCATCAGATTATACTGTCTGCTCTCACTAAGGTAACACACCAATAATAGTCGCCTAAAATAATAATATCTCATGTTAGTTTAGTTTCCAACCAACATTTTTATTCTCCTTCAATATAAAATGGTATTGACTTAAATATATGTTTTTGTATAAATATATGCATAATATTGACATAACCAAACTTAAAAAACACAAAGACAAACAACTGAAGAAAATACAATTCATGTTCTTATCATTAAGTGAGTGGAGAAAGAGAGAAAGAGAGACAGAGAGAGAGAGAGAAAGATGGCAGCTTGGTATTTTGTGGTAATTAATTCTCCACTGTGCAGCAGTCAATCAGGAAACACACACAGACACACAAGGAGAACAAAAAGTGTGGTCACACTTTTCTCAAAATAAGTCCATTACCTCCTGATCAATCAGAGAAAACAACAAAGCTAATCAATTGTATTGACCCTGTTGACAGCATCACTCAATTAGCCTGCTCTCACAGGCCGCAGCCAAATTACCACTGAGATTTTATCACCTTAAGCCCCTGTTTCCCTCCCATGGGAAAACAACAGCAGTTTCTGTCTGACTGAAGAGCGCTGATGAAGTCTGAGTAAATGAGTGTGTGTGTGTGAGAGAGTGTGTGGACATGGATAGGTGAGAACAACAATTAAACATTTGCTCATTTGGATTGTTGACTGGTGTGTTGAGAAATCCACAGACAAAATTAAATTCCATCATGACATTATCAATCAAGTCAACCGTTCTGACTGTATATAGACAACAGCACAGCACAGTGTACTGTAAGCTGTATTTAAATATAGTTCTGCATGTCATTTATAGAAATGTTTTTCACTGCTTAATAAGGCTTCATGGAAACAAATAAATCACTGCGTGACATATACCTTAACTCCTGCTAGAATCATGATGACATGTTGCCATAAAATCTAAGTCGTCTATGTACAATTTTCTTAATGTAAACATATCTCTAACACAACTCCAAACTTACACCTGAACAACAGAACAGTCCATTCCCACTGTAAGAGTTGTTGAACGTCCTAAATTCAATGCAATAAACACGTGTTACTGTACATTGAACAGACACTGGGACAAAGAAAACAAACTCGATTTGATTTGTTTATACCACATTGTATAGAAATTAATGCCACACCCTCAAAAAACACCCACAGATGTCTGAAACTACGGTCCAATCAAGTGATCGTCGGGTCAGAGTTCACCAGCTTTAAACTAATCAACTACAGAACAGAGCAGGAGCAGGAGCTCACACAATAGACCACCACAGGAGAATGGTTCAAGCAGGAAGATTAGAATGAATTTTACTGGAACGCTGATCAGCTGAGTGTGTGTGAGGGAGGGGTGTGATTTTTGAGTGAGAGTGCAGGAGGGCACACACACACACACACACAAACACACAGGTCAAAGCTAATCTTCTTAGCCAACACAAGGTTCGACTGTTGGACAAAGTTCACATTATCAACAACAGCACAGTTCAATAAAACACTGTCAGAGAGACAGCCAGACTCAAAGAGAAAGAAACTCTCTGTGGGGTTATGGTGTGACTTTTGTAACTCAAAGTGGATCCTTCAAGTTAGGTGGACTAATACGTGGACAACTATCTAACCGTCAGACATCGATGGTTGAGAAACGGACCTGGAACGACATCTACACCAGAATAGTGTTGGTAGTAACCTGCAGGACTTGTTTATTCAAAACTATAAGGAGGGAAATCTAAAAGCCGTAAGTAAATATTGTGGAATACAGTTGTACGTCATAACATCCTGGGTGTTCTTATACACAGACATTTATGAGACTATGTTAGGGTTCATCTTTAACGGTCTCCGAGGATGACAACTGGTCTTCAGTTCACTCTGTGTCCCAGGATGTCATTTACATCCTGAAACATTTGATTTGGTCTTCTGGGGATCCATGCAGGTAAAATAAATAAATAAATAAACTAAATAAACAAAATCATGCAACCAAGAACCAGTGTTACACTCTGGAATTCTGCAGGTTGTCTTTTGAAAATTATTTTCTTTTCAAAGCTTTGGCTAGTGCTGTACAAACACACAGTGGTTCCAAATCGTGAATTGAAAAGTTCAAAAACCCCAACAATTTTCCCCCAATGTTAAATGGATTAATCCCTTCCTGGACCCTGGATGACTGCTTATTCAAACATTTTCAACAGTATTTTGTGTACAAGTTCATACAACTAAATAGAAATAAAGCTATAAATAGGAAAGGTAACTTCATTCATCCTTACCGGTGCTGAGCAGCCATGGTTGTGCAATGTTCGCTTCACTGTCGCCAGCCAACTGCTTCTCATTGTCCCAATCAGAAGCAACTTTTCCACTTCTTCTAATGTCTGAGATCTTTTCTTGGTGATCACAGTCACTCCTGTGGCAGCCTTATCTTATTGTAGGGGTTCCTTGTTCCTAGTGATGGTACAAGCCATACTGTAAAGCCGTAAAAATGACAATAATTTAAAAAAGGCTCTGTTCAATGATTTCTAAAAACCAAATATTATACATAAATCCCAACTCTCTCTTGTGTAACTTATTCAAAACATACACATCGATACTCCCTGGGATGAGTTGGCAGACTAAGTGTCAGGTGTTCTATCGTCTTAATACAACTCCACTCCTGAATGCACCTCCTCTGTGACTGCTTCCTCCCTGACAGAGTCGTATGGAGGTGCTGAGTGGCCCCTGGGCTGATTTGGCTCTGATGCTACGACAGACCATCACACATACAGATGAGGGAACAGCCATCTTTCCTCTTCTCTGGCTCTTTGGTCTATTCCTGTTTCTTTCTGTGTCTGCGTTGCTGCTGCTGCTAATCACCTATTTCTGCTGGAAACTCAGGCAGAGTACGTACTCATACACTTTTCATGTCGTACATGTCAAGATGCCTCATTATGCTACAATTAAATATACCATGAAGCCATGTAGCTTCATTGGTAATGTGAGGGGATGGCACACTTTGGGGAAACATATTATTAATACATGCGCCCATCTGGGCGGTACATGTCAAAGGAAGCACCGTCTCTTATAGTGATACATATAAATAAAAGGCCTTATTTGTCTATAATCTCCAAAACAAACCATAGAAACAAACAGAAGAGACTGAACAGTTTCCTTAGCAGACCAACGTACAATCATTCTACAGTTGTTTTCCATGAACATGAATGATCTGGCCATTGTTCAATTTCGAACAAATATACACAGAACAAAATGAGTTCTTAGCCTTTAAGCCATGTCTTGGGTGTAGTGAGTGTTCTCATAGTAGTAGCACCCAGGGAGCAATGGAAATTTTCCTCTCACCACTAAGCCACCAGTTCCCACATAAAGAAGTACAAATGCTTTTTTTCCCTCAATTTCTGTTTGATTTGGAGTTGAACCGGCAATCCCTTTAACCACTGAGCCACTGCTGCCCTGAATACTGAGGGCCAAAAACATCATGTTTTAATCAGGCTATATTTATCTTCACGGCATGGCGCACACATCTAAACACTTAGGTCTCCGCACATCCAGGATTCATACGAGAAAGAACCCATTCATTTACAGTGTGAGAGAAATATTTTTGGTAACTGTCTTTAAAAAACAAAAAATGAAAACATATATAACCAGGTATCTAGACCTGTTTATAAAATCCTTAACCAAAAGCGGAACAGATATTTTGTGACCCATTTATACTGCTACAAATAGGGCACTGAATATGAAGTAATTACATATATTAATATATTTCCAAAAAGAAAAAAAACATGAGAGTAAAGTAATAAATATTCATCAAAGTGTAACATTTTATTCATTTTATTACTGTGATTTATTAGTGACTTAATGTAGTGGTCCTTGATCTAGTGGTAAGAGAGTTCTTCAACTGTCAGTCAAGAATCGCGGGTTTAAATGTTTTCTGTTATGCATTTTTAAATATTGACCGAATAAACCGTTTTTATTTTATTTTCTGCAGAATTTCGCCCTCCACTGGCCTAAATTAGCACAACCGCCTGCACACCAGCTGCTTCAACTAGACACGTTTAAAAAGTTAAATTATTAAAAGCAAAAATAGAAACTGTTTCTTCTGTTCTTTTTCTGCTTAGTGACACTTCTGTTTTTAGTTTCATTTTAATTCGGTAATATCTTGAAAACGTTATCTAACAACCATTCAGAATGTTGCAGGTGTTGGTCTTGGTCTTTTCCAAACACTAGCTTTAGAACTCTAGTTAATTTTAAATCTTTAAAACCCTTTAATTAGATGAAACGTTTACCTGCGAACGCACCTGTGAACCTCGCCTCAGTAAACGGCTCTTGGTGCGCATGTGTACAACGACTAACGATAGAACTACAATGACCAGTTCTGTGAAAAACACAACCAGAAACATGTCGCACAATGTTGAAAACATAAAATATAATATACATAAATAAATAAAGTGCTGGTTAGGTTGGTTAAACATGTTTGTTTTGTTTTTTTTGTTATCACATTTTCCCATGCATTATCTTTCTGTCTGCTCCTCCTCGCTCTTATGCCACTCTAGTAGTTTGTACCTCCTGACCTACATGGATTTTATATTCATATATATTTAATTCATAATGCTTTTTGTATCTTGTCTTTTTTCCTCCAGTTGAGACTGAACTCTCCACGTTTCCACGGGACCGAAGCGCCATCTATGCACAGGTGCATGAAAGTGCATACCTGAGGAGGAGGAGGCGCAGCGGCTCTGATGTCCACTGCTGAACTGAAAAACTATAGTTTTAAGCATTTAACGGGACTTGAACCGAGTCATGTGGTGAAACGACTTCATTGGAAATCATTGTTTTGACAATACAACTGCTACCCATCAAAATCGAAAACGTAGTCAACATATCACACATTTGTAAATTATTTTAACTGTCTTGGACATTTTTAATAAATGTTTTTTATTATCTTGTGTTTATTTATCTTACATTTTTAGCCGATTTAAACACCCATAATTACGGTCTTGTACAAAAAATAAAAATCAAGGTAATAAATGATGAGGACACACTGGACAGAGTATAACAATACTTTATTCAAACAGTGTTACACAGGGGGAGGAGTGGCTGTGCAGGGAGACACAAGACTGTTAAGCTGCTAGGGCAAGAATAAATCCTACCAGTGATCATTGGTTGTGCTGAAGGACAGGGTTGGTTTTCTAAAAATGTAATAAGAACAACTGCTTGTAAGAAAAAAAGGAACTAAACAACGCTGGTTTTAACCTTTTGTATCATCTCCTTTGTCTAAACTTTGGCCTGAGTGCGAAGAATGTGCACTGGTTATACAAAGGTCGTGATGTTATGGACGTCAGATGATTTAATGTCGGGTCCCTGACTGTCAGCTGCCACTGGGTTGCGTTATCTTCCTTAAATTTAACCAACTTTTTTCCTATAGTTCGTCATATAAAAAGTGTAAAATATTACCACATTTTGTAAAAACTAACCTCACTGCCTCAAGGCTGCTGTGACTGGACAGAAGAGAGTCCAGGATTTGACTGAAGCTGAAACTAGAAACATTCAAATGGTGTTTTATTTTTTTCATCTTATAAATACTCAAGAGAGAGGACAAAACAGATTCCACTTTTTTAGTTTTGCAAAGCTGCCTAACACCGCTGGGTTCGACTCCCATTCTTTCTGCTGCTTGGTCCTTAAACAGAGTCAGAAGTTTGCTCTTGTCTGGAATGTCAGACTGGAGCGTTCCAGCCTACCTCTCCATCATCTCACTGTTCCTCAGTTTACAGACAAAACGATCTAAAACGTTAAAAGCTGAGGGGAAAGTGGTATTTAGCCATGTCTGGTGTTTCTCACAATACTTTAGGAAGTGTTTTTATCCAGTCACAGAGGATGATGAAGGCTAATCCAGGCTGGTTCAGGTGGAATGTGTCTGGGATGAATCTGTGCCACTTCTTTCATTACCAGATAACCAGTTTTCACTTGTTGTTTCATAGTGAACATTAGAGTAAAGGGGGAGAAGGAACAAAACACTAAAATAAAACATGATTCAATTCAGGGGATTTTAATAGCACTTTGTAGTGTGTGGTGCACTTTCCCTTTAATCTGTTACACTTCAATCTAAATCTGTCAGTCTCTCTAAAAGATACCATTTCACGTTTGAAACATTAAATATCTGCAGTGAAAACTGTCACAGAGTGAGTCACAAAGTCTAACCTAGAAGTCCTGTATGAGCAGAGCTCAGTCTGATGACATCACACTCTAAGCTACCAATACAGCGACCTTCTGTCTACATGTGCCCTAGAAAAAAGTTGATTTTTTTACCTCCCAATTTTTTTTAGCAGAATTTCTTGCTACAATTCAAATAACTATATAAATTGTAGTAAAATTCAAACTAAGACCAAAAGTTAAGTTTTGCAAATCTGTAATTAAAGACCAGGAAGGCCTTAAGGTTACAGCCCAAGATCCTCATTTCAGGATCTGTGTACGAACATGAATTCATGAATTTATTTGCGTATTTTGTTTCGTTTCGAGTTTTAAAATGGATAAAGGCCCACAAGATAAATAAAAGATAAAAAGTGGGCCATCATTAAAAAAACAACATATATGTATATTTTCTTTTGACTCCCATTTAGACAAAGGTCAATGTTGCCCATTGTCGCCTCAATCTCCCAAATATCCGTGTGTCTACTCGTCCTCTCTCGCAATCAAAAGTCTGATTGATGTTGCCTTTGTTCCCTGTGGTCCAATAGGAATGATCATAACAGTTCAATAAATAAGAACTGGATTATAGCCGCCATCACACTGTGGGTCAAAAATAAACTATTTATAAAGTAAAAGTACGACATAACAAGTACAAAGAAGATTAATCTGGGTATTTTTGTCCTGAAAGAGTTAACCTAACAGGTTGGGAGTTTTTATAAAAAGTAAAATGTTACGTCTGGTTTGTGACGTGTGCTTGACTGTTAACGCGTTTACAAACCAAGTACCGTTAGTGTGACCCTAAAAATAGTACTGTAAAAAAAGGTAAAGCATTTGTTCATCGACACCAACATTGAATGAGCAGAGGGGCAGTAAAATGTACCCTCGTCTCTGTGGGTAAATACATCCAATATCAAAAGTGTGCACACACATTTGAAACTGGAAAAAAAAATCTGTTGTCCACAGTTTTTTTCTTGTGTCTGGAAAAATAATGGACATCCTAGGCTGTAATTACAGGCGAATAGTTCGAGTGAAGTACAAATGTCACACCAATGCTCATCAGTGCCTCCCTAAAAATTGATTTTTGTAATATACGACAAACACTATCTTTGTAAAACAATCTGTTAAAGAAACAAAACCGTACTATTAAAAAAAACAAAAACACACTAGAAATGTTACGCTAATTAAGTGGTTCTGTTCCATTTTCCCCAAACACAGAGAGGATGTGATTTATTCTTTTAGTTGGTCTGAGAGAGACTGACTGTCGATCCACCAAGTACATGTATGTGTGTAAAAGCTAGACTGACGGAGAAGGTCTGCCGACGCCCTCGTTCTGCAGCTCTTCAGTCAGTCAAGGTCAGTTATTCAAGGATGATGAAGGTCGATGAACGTAAGAGACGACAGACGTGGTTCGTCCGTCAGTTCTGGGAAAATAAAGTGAAGACGGTCAATCTGGGCAATGGAACGACCACTTGAAATACACGTGTAAACACACACAGACTGGTTTTTCTGTGATCTCCAGTAGCTTTTGCTTTTATTTAATTTTACTCTAATTCTTTTTTGTTCATGATTGTAACTGATTTCTTATCGTTACCTGTCAATCCTCCTCCTCAGCCAGTTCAGTCTCTTTATGAACCACCACTCTGGTGACAGACATGTCAGGATGCTGCTCTTTGGCTTCCTTAATGGCCTGGGCCAGTGCCTGCAGCACCATGGGGCAGCCACACAGTGGAAGCACCGAGCATGGTATGTGTCAGTGGAGATGGGATGAGAAATTAAAATAAAAAGAAGCATTTACAACGGTACTACTCTCGAACTGGTGAACATTTTTTACTTCTGTTGAATTAACTGTGATGTAAACAGAAGTAAAAAATAACATCTGAAAACCGAATTGAGCAAATGACACGAGGCAGATGTAAAGAAGGGTGGATTTTCACTTTTTAAATAAGATTAACACAAATTTTTGATTAAAAAAAAACAGTAATTTTACTGACAGACTTTACAAAAACTGTTGTTCACTTTAAATTTTTGACACTGTTATGAACGTGTCCATATGCCATTGACTGAAACCTAGAATATTTACGACAAAGTAGAACCAAAAGTGGAATCGTTTTTTGTAAGTTTTCATTATAAACTCACAGACACTGGTCTTTGTGAAGTCCAACTGTACTCTGCTTTTTACTTCCTTGTCATTTGCTCAGTGTGGCTTCAACATGTAGTATTTTTTCATAATAAAAGGAAAATTGATTGAATGGCTGAAGCGAAAACAAGCAGCAACAACAACAACAACAATAATAATGATGATGCAGCAAAACACTGTTTACATTAATGTAAAGATGTAATGAGGTGTAAAGATGGATCCAAAACTCAGACGATGAGTGGAACCTGAGTGAAAAGGTGATGGTTTTGTTGTTTTTGCCACCAGCTAATATTGAAACATTGTAATAAAATTAGTATATATTATATTTAACACCTGTAGAGTCATTATCCACAGGATCTAACTTGAACTAATTTGGTAAAACTTCTTGTGATTCTTGTGGAGGGCTTTTTGGTCAATTTAATATTTAATCAATAATAAAATATTATTTTTAAATCTACCTTAAACGTGAATCAATGAAATTATCATTTTTTGGTGAGATATCTTTTTTAACGTGTCAGTGAAATCTGACCTGGTCATGGTCGATGTCACAGTCACCAGTGATGACAATCCGCTTCTCAATCCTCGTCTCTGACAGGCCACCCTTCAATGTCTGGAAAAAATATAATATAAATAATAAACCTTTAATGCTCTGAGCAGTTGAGTCTTTTTTTAAGAGAAAGTGAAAACTCCAGAGTTCATGAAGCCAATTATTTGACGTGTGTGTGTGTGTGTGTGTGCAGCCGTACCTTGGTGATGTGTGTGGTCGTGGTCGTACACAGAGATTCAGAGGTGATTGTCTGAGCAGTCATCAACACACCTGGCTCACCATCACCATTACCGTCCAACTATTACAGGGGACAAAAAGAAATAATTTGTGTAAATCCACACTGGTCCAGTTTTCACACCTTGAATGGAAACAACCAAGAACAGCAGCACTTTGGAAAATTAAACATAACAATCTGTTTCTATGACAGAATCACGTTATTCTACACTCTTATTCTACAAACACAAAATAAGCCCTGAATCTGACACACAAACACACACACATAAGCAGGATAAATAAACTAAAATACAATTAAAAACACCCTTTGTTTGTGGTGTGTGCACCTGAGCTGCTTCATATGTGATGGTCTTGGTTTCCGTGTGTACGATGGGCACTTCTTTTGTTGCTATCTCAGTTTTCTGGGCTGCAAACGTGTCTGAAATAGTCACCATTTCTGTCTTTACCACAGGTGGCTGGGGAGGGAGGGGAGAGAAATGTGAGGGGGGAGAAAAGAGGGTTAGATGATTAGCCTTAAGACAGTTAAGGAAACACAGAAATATTCATGTTTTCTTTTGTTGTTGTTTGTGTTTGAGAAGGGAGCTGGGGTCAAAATTATACTAATGTATACTTTTTATATTGGTCAAAACGTTAACTTTAAGCAATGATACCGAGTAAGTACTATTAAGGTAATACATATATACTTATATATATATATACTTATACATATATATATATAAATATATATATATGACCTTTCTGTTAATAAATGTAATTAGTAAATTAAATCAAATTTTTAATTTCATAAGTAAGTGTTTTGAAAAAGAAAATAGATAAAACAACTGCGCTCTGTCAATCAACAATCAATCAACATGGAAATCCAATGTGCTCAACATCAACACCACAGATGTAGAACATGACAAACATCTACTTCATGCAAGGCAGCAGCCACAGCTACAACAGCAGCAGCAGCAGCAGCAGCAGCAGCAGCAGCAGCAGCATCGCTACATAAACATCTCTGGGTCGAACAGCGGTGCAGAAACAAGTAACTGCCAACGAACGCAGCCATTCAAATGGAAACAACGTGCAAAGTGATTGACATTCATGCGAGTGTGTGGCATTTTTAAAGCTTTTGGCATTGGCATTCACCACAGTAGTGTTACCATGGTGACCATGACCAGTCAAACAGGTACATGCAATTGTTGGTGCCAAACAACATGCAAAACAAATAAGTAAATAAAAAACAACAAAGATGATAAACTGTGTGCAGAAACAGAAAGTTGACACCCAGTAACAACATGCAGTTAGGCCCCATTTACGTCACAACACTGGAATACAGCAGAGAGTCGGCAGTGAGACTAACACAACACAATGTGCACAGCAATAATGAACTATCATTACAGCAGACACATCAAAATGTATGAATGATGAGATGATTCTACACAAAGATGATAGAATTATATTTAAAATCAGTTTTTTTAAGGTTTAAGGTTGAACTGTTTTTTACTGGCTAGTGATGAGTGTGAGGATGTACATGGGGCGTAAATATTCACACAAGCAGGAAGGAGACCGGCACTGTGGAAAGGAAGGAAGGAAGGAAACAAAGGATGTAGGTTTTTCTCTTTTTCTAGGGTTTGAAGGAGATACCAAAGCCTGGAAAAGCTTCAAAGTCGACCAAGTGAAATCTTTACCTCAGAGCAACAAATAACCTGTGGCCGAGGTTCGACCAGGAGAGTTTCTCCGTTCATTTTGGGCTCCTGCTTTTCTGCATGGCCGACCAATCCAATCACAGCATCCTCGGCCAGGGCCACACCATTAGGAACCTCTTCAGGAGTCATCATTGGTTCCTCTGTGCTTTCCTCTGATTCTCTTCCAACTTCCATTTCCTTTTCTGCGTTTCTCTTGACACCTCCTTGTCCCTCCTCTCTCTTAGATTCCTCTTCCTTTTTGCAGACATCTTCTGCTGCTTTAGTGATTTCAACAGGAAGAGAAGCAACAACAGGAGCAGACATGTTCTCATCCGCCATTTTGTCTTCCTCTACCTTGTCTTCCTCTTCCTCCTCTTCCTTTACCTCTGGCATATGTGTGGACGCAGAGACATTTGGGTGATACTCGGCTTCATCTTCGCTCTCGCTCTCAGACGACACACTCTCCTGTTTTGCTGTGGCAGCCTCTTTTGGCACCACTGCTTCCTCCTGCACCTTCACTTCCTGCTCCCTGGTCTCCTGCTTTGCGGGTGGAATGGCAGGTGAGTCGACTGCAACAGTGACAAGTGCAGGTTGGGTTGCTTTGGAAACCTCTTGGACGACAATGGTTTCCTCAATTTCAACGTCGGCCGTCTGTATGCACGCACATACACACATATACGCATTGTACACACACATGGACACACACACAGAGTGAAGGGCGTGGAGACAGAAAAAAAAAAATAAGATGATCATTGAACATAAACAAAAATCATGTTAACTTAAAATAAATCAATGTCAGAGGAAAATCAGGATTGAGAGGACTGTGGAGATAAGTGAAAAAGGTAAGGACAAGAAGGAAGACACAGATTATCATGTGGAGACGCCAGTGGCTCCGAGAGGACTGGGAAGACTGAGGCTGCAGGTGAGAATGAGTGAAGAGTGAAATGAAGAGTGAGAACAGGCGGCCGGGTGTACAACAACACAGAAGGAAGTGAAGACCACCTTTGTAGGTTCTTTGGTATCAGAGCTCGTACAATCAGCTGCAGCTGCCTCCGCACTGGGTGCATTAATCTGTGTGACAGAGAGGTTAGTGAGACATGTGACAGTTGACCACCCACCATGATGACATCACAACCGTTTTAAAAGGGTCACATTCATCGCAAACCGGAAATACTGAGAAAATACTGAAGCAAAGGAGAACAGGAAGCCATGATCGTACAGGCAGAGGTTAGAAGTTATGAAAAACACGAAGACCTGTCGTCCTTATAACACTTAAATATTTACACCTCAAAGGAGAAACTAACAGATCTGTGTGGACAGACAACTCACCAGTGAAAAGACATAATAATTAAACCCAAAGAAACAGTATAGTGTCAAGCTAACTCATCAACATATTTATATCACATCAACAATATTGTTCCACACTGTGTGTCTTGTTTCTCTGTAGGTAAATAAATGAAATAACCTCTTTAATTCTAAGCAAAAAGGTGAAAGAAGGAGAAGAACAACTGCACTTCCAGACAGACATACCACTTGTTGCTGCTGAAAACGTACTGCTGTAGCAGGGGAGGAGGTGAGACGTTTCTCCCACTGGTTGGATTGAGGAGGCGAGGCAGGAGGCGCCTCCATAAAGGAGCGTTTTAGCTGGCTAACGCTAGCTTGGTGTTTCAGAACCTCATCTTGGGTCTTATCATGATCCTGATGGGGTAACGGAGGGGAGGAGTAAGAGTGGTAGGTACGGTGGGGAGATTAGGGAGGAAGAGAGAGAGAGAGGGAGAGAGAGTGAGTACAGGATGAATGGAGGGGAGATGGTGTAGAGAAACGGCAGGTGATGAGAAAAAAAGAACCAGGTCCACAGTAAGTACAGTAGAGAAGATGGAGAGATAGAAGAGAGAATAAAAAAGAAATTGACAGGTGGGAGGGAAGGAAGAGAGAGGAGAGGTGGACATAGAGGGATGGGGGTGTGGGGAGGGAGGAAACTTTGGTTTATCAGAACACAGTAACATTAGTCTGTCAATCAAGAGTGAAATAACTTGAATGCTGTGTCTCACTGAAGCCTGCAGGAAATTAAAATTGTGTGTGTGTGTGTGTGTAAACAGGCTGCAGTAAAACACAGCATCTTTATCTCAGTGAACCAGGAACAGCTGGACATAATGTGAATCATGGAGTTAATAGTAAGGCTTTAACTTCAGTTTATTTTTCCAAAAAAGTGGACCGTGATCTACCAGTGGATCACAAAGAGAGTGCTGGTAGATCAGGAGTAATTAAAATATGTTAAAAAAAGGTTTTGTCATCTAAATATACTTCTATATTTAGTACTATACAGTACTATAAGAATACAGCTATGTGCATTAAATAAGTACCTGGACATATGTAGTATGTATACAGTAAAGTATATTCAGTTTATATCAGCAAAAATATACTTTTAATATGTTTACTGTAGGTAGATCACCTTAAGCCTGGTTGTATGACTAGTAGTTCCCAAGCCAAAATAGTGTGGACACCACCACTAGTCCTATCAACAAAACAGGGCACAGAAAGAAAGTGTATTTTAAATTAATTTAAATTACCTTGAGGTGACATTTTTAACAATTTGTGGCTTTAAGTTAGTATTCATAATTGTGTTAAATAATAAAATAATTGTAAAATAATTAAACTGAGTTTTAATTAAATACTTCTTTACCGCCACCAGTAACCACATCACTATTTACCCCATGTTTCACAAAAGTTTGCTGTTTGTTTAGTGAGGCGTTACACCACGTGTGAGTCACAGTGGCAGCCAGTCAGCAGAAAACAGTGAGGGAGGTCATGGTGTCGTTCAGGGAGGGCGGGGTTAGTCAGGTTAGAAGAATCACACACTTGAAGTTTGAAATGATCAAAACAACCATGTAATGTTATCATCCAACAGCACTCACTGTGCACAGAGCATGCATGGAAGCCATGTTCACACACTGCTGACCGGCCCTATTCAGAAAGCAGCTGCTGTGAAAACTCAGGCTGGAAGTGTCATCCAGACATGATGACAGATGAGCACAAATATGCTGAAATGGTTTTCAAAGGTCTGCATGATTTCTTATCATTTATTGAAATATATTTCGAGACTCCCTGTCAATAAACGTGCAACATTTTGATGTACTAATTGCTAACAAAACGAAATGACTATAAAAAGAACGTAAGATGTAAATGTAAAACATCAACTACTGTATATGTCAGCTACTGTATTCACTAAAGTCTTTACTTACTTACTTAAGTGCATATTTTAATGAAATTTTTGAACAATCATTTATTTTAGATTCATGAATATTAATACAAAATATGACTTATATATAATCCAGCCGACATCTTCAACTTTGCTGAAATCTGAATGAGGACAATTCAATCTTGTTGCCCAGAACTTTTTCAATACAGTCTTCAAATTGCCAGGAACAAGTGAAGACTTGATGAAAGAGCATCCACACGCTCATGCATGCACACAGAGCCTGAGAGTGTCAGAGGGCAAAGGTCGTCCTGTACAGTACAGTCACAGTTACAGAGGAAGTTGTAGATCTGATGGCGTCATGAGTACACAGAAACATGTAGCTCTTATAGTCGGCCATCAGGCGACACCGGTACCAACCTCCAACATTAAATTACTGTGCCTCACATATATATTGTCCCCATGCACTCTCAATGGACTCTGGAAGGCAGACATACAGCAAAAGTAAAACGGTGAATTTAAAAAAAAGGTTAGTTCAAATGACAAATGTGCTCTGGTCAAACTGTACAAAACAAACAGTTAGATGAACCTACATTAAAGTAAATATAACAACATAGCCTCCATGTCTCAAACTGAAGGCACAGTTTTCCCCCACCACCAGCAGCAAACCCGAATGTGCCTTGAGTGAATTCCACTGTGACAACAAACACACCGTAAAAAAAAAACAAAAAAAAAACAGCAGCAGCTGAAATTGTAAAACCATGTGCAGAGCAACCAAAAGTGACCATTTAGTGCCTTCTAGGATCAGTGTCAGTACACATGCTTAATCTGGAATCTGGAACTTGAAGCTCACACAGCTCAGTCTGCTGTTCAATATGAACACATTCCAGATTAGGTTCTGTTGTATGGACACCAATCTCACCTCAAAAAAAAAATCACCAGAACCAAACCAACACACACAGGCAGAACAAATGATTGACAGACCAAATACACAATCAAATAACCAATAATAATGTGTGAACCTGCGGGGGGGCAACCTCACTGGCTCCAAATGACTGTTGATATGTAAGGTAGAGGAGAGAGTAAGGACAGGTTAGGTTCACCCTGCAGGTGCTTCACCACACATCAAAAAAACCACTTTCACTCATTATTTCTTTTCACACATCTACAGCAACTCCTAAACTGCAAAGCATGCTGGTAAAAAAAAGAAAAGAAAAAGAAGACAGGCCCTACAGACCTGGGTGGACGTAGGTTCAACCTCAGCAGGGCTTAAGTCCACCTCCTTAACCTTCAGTGGTGTAGCCATGACATAATGAGGAGTATGGGATGTCAAAAAGAAAATAAATGATATGGATGACGGGAACCACTTTGTTTTTTTCACCCCTGTGCTGGGGAGAAAAGCTGACCACTGCACCGATCTACCCACCCGCGGCATGTGACAGGATTTGTTGTCCAGGAGGGGGCAGTGGATTTTAGTGATTGTCAAAATAATTCCCTCAATATGTTGACAATCATATCACACTTTAACTGAAAATGGAATTCAATAAATATATGCCAATGAAAGTAAAGCAGTTATCCAAGTATATTGTAGTACCACTTGGTACTGTACTTGTACAATGTTCCTAATATAGTATTTATGAGTAATTAATCCTACTCTATATGATTAACTATATACAAAGCCACAAAGCTTGACACAGTTGTAGTATTTATCTGTACATATTTATACATAGTATACATATTTACCATCGGTCTCATCATCACTCTAGACCTCAGCGGCAGAATTTAGCCCCTGCAGTTTGAATCAAAAATATTGGCAGCTCACAGTATCTTGTTTCCTAATTCAATTATTGCAGCTGAAAGGAGGAGACATCGTTCAGCTATGACAATCAAATTTGATGATTTTTTTTACACATTCTTCCTGTCACTGCATAATACTGACTTATTCATAATAATCTTTATATGGAATCTACGGACAGAGAATACTGCTACTAATACTGTTTTGTTTGTTTATAGATTTCTCTGTCTCTTGTATGTCTACTGTATAACAATGCTGTTTATCTACTATATTTCTACAAATAAATATATATAATAAGCCATAGATAATAAATAGAATAAAAATAGATAAACTTCACCTAAAGTAAAGACAAAGATAGAGGTTTTAACAGATGCTGTAAAAGTGGGAAAACATATAGTATGTATATATATATGTATATAATAATGTATATGGGTGTGCTTATGCAGCAGGATCACACATCTCTTGGGTCCAGCTGGCACCTGTGTGTGTGTGGTGCCTGTTGCGTGGAGGTGTGTGTGTCTGTGAGAAAGGAGACCCCTGCTGGCTGAACCCAGAGCTTAGGTCCCTCTGATCACATGGACCTTCAGTAATGAACAGGGGCAGCATTGCTTTTTGCCGACTGGAGACAACTTTTTCCAGGTAACACAGGGTCAAACCCAGGGGCGCTGCTAAAATCAAGGCCAAAACCAATGACTGGCTCGCTGTCAGCATCACAACCAGGAGAAAGACGACCAGCAGGCAGGGGAGAAACAGAGGGGAAGGATTAAGAAGGTAGTGGTGCACTGATACACTAGAAAGTGAAAGGAAATTTAGGGGTAAATAAAAGTAGGAAGAAAAGGGGAGGCATGAGGGGGAGGAGAGGGAGGGTAGAGGGCCGATGAATGAACCAACTATGGGCAATTGTAGCTGTTTTCTGTGAAAGGTGCAAATTGGTACCAGGTTGTTAAACTTGGTACGGAGATGACTGATACATAATGTCACAAAACGGTTGATTTTTACAGAGATGCTAGTCAAGTGAGAGGGAATACATCTGAAAATCTTAAGTATTTTAGCTGACTTGAGCATTAGTTTGAACCCAGTTACTGTCAAAAATCTAACTTTATTATTTAATGCTGAGAACAGCTTTGTCAGATGACACACGTTCCTATCTTTTCCCAATGAAATAAAACACAAGATAAAAGAAAAATATTTGAACACTCCACTGAAGGAAAACCATCTTTGCCAAACTGATGTTGCTCTGGTTTCTGACTGGCAGATCTCCTCCTCTCCACAGACTTCTGTGGTGCACGTTTGTGGGGCTGTGATTGTGTTTGAGGTTTGAGGGTTTTGTGAAAGGTGTTCAAAAGAAGCCGACTGCTGTTCGGACGTGATGGAAGGGAGTGAGGGAAGGGACCAGGGACTGTGTGAGGTGGCGGCGTCGTCGATAAGATCGCCATCTTCAGAGATGTCTGACAGGCCGTGGTCGAACTCAGAGATGGAGTCCAGGGATGGAGGTATGGATGAAAGTGAGGAGGATGAGGAAAAGGAGAGAGGAAACATGAAGATTGACTGGTGGATAGCAATTGAGGGAGACAAAAAGGCAGTAAAAATGGAAGAAAAGGAGAGGAAAGAGATGAAAAATAGACCAGGAGAAGAGATGTGAAAACCAGTGGGGTGCACAGATATTCACACAGTGCAGGAAGACGCAGCAAGTAACATGACATACAGTGAAAAAACAAAAGTTCCATTTTTCATTCAAAAAATGAAGACATGCATGTGTAAAGGGACAGAAAAAAAGAAATCAAATAATGTGTGAAGAAGAAAAAGAGAAGGAGAGACATAACATTAGTCAATGCAGATCACAGCACACAAGGTTAAAAGTGAACACAGCATAAGCAGAGTAAGACTGTGTAGAAACAGTGTCAACAACAGGGAGTTAAAGCCCAGGTCCACAGTGCTGAGGTGGGAGCAAGAGACGGGGGGAGAAAAGGACGAGTGGGAGGAGTGACACAAGAGGCATGCAATCATAATCCATTTTATCGTCCAGTTTTGGGGCCTCATAGACTGGACAGTCTGACCAGTGAACTAAACACCTCTGAGTTGATTATTCAACTTTAAATTCAGTGGATCCTGATGTGGGTGGGGGGTAGGGAATTATGGGGGAAGGAAAATGGTCTAAACGGTGCATCAATCATTAGGATCAGGAGCCAAAGAGCAGAATACCACCAACATAGAAAATAAATACAAACTTTGTCTTTATGGAAGCTTTCCTCCATTTTCACTGTCCTGAAAACACAATCTCTTATCTTTACGTATTCACTACCTTTCATGGAAAACACCACACAAACACACCTTAGAGTCTGAGTGGAGATCCAGGCGATGCTCACGTCCATTCTCGGCTGTGTCCCTTTCAACGTCCGTTATGCTGATCATTGGCGCTAAAAAAGGCAAATACATATTGTATTAAAAACACAGCAACATCTGTCTCCCTCTGGGGGAGAGGACGATAGGCAAACACAAATAAAATTGGGTTGAGTTCATACAAACTTAATGGCTTGTGAAAAGTAACAGTGGTTCCAACAGGGGGCGGTGCAGGATCATTGTATAAATCAGAGGAAATAGAACAGCTGCCTGAACTTTAAGCATGTGTTTTAGGTTTTTGTGCTAATTCCTGAAATAAAAAAAAAGAGATGGCATTCGTCTTTTTTACATTAGGCTCGATTTTTGTTTTACATTAGATGACATGATTTAGGCTCGATTTTTGTTTTACATTAGACGACATTTACACATTACATATACATTTTTACAGTAAAGAATGTCACAGCACTCATCTAGAAGAGAAAGACTGTTTTTTTTTTCTGCCTGTAGTCACAGTGTTTGCTGTGCTGTATTTATTCTATAACATGGAGCCCTCTCTCCTTGGCAAACACAAACAACACTCTCCCATTTCAATTCTTTCTGCTTTTCTCTGTGTGACAGGAAACATATGCTGCAGCTATTTCCTGTATCTGGTCAGACTACATCCAAACACAGACACGCACACACCGAGAACCCTGTCTGACCTCTCTATCTTTGTCTCAACTTCTAGATTGCATCATTCCTTCCATTCTCTTCCCCGTCTGTCCATCTGTTCCTTAATTTATTGAGTAGTGTTGGGAGGAAAGCTGAAGCATCGTGTTTTTGTGACACTCTGCTGTGCGTCCATTACCTCCATCCACACTGCGACTGATGCGTTTTGATGAGGTGCGTTCAAAAGTGGGAGAAGGTCGGTCTATGAGGGAGCTGGCCAGACGGGTCTGAGCCTGGGTTCTTCCACTGTAGCGGAACTTGGAGCCCAGAGTCAGGAAACGTGCCTTGGTTGGAGGTTCTGGTGCGTTTAACCTAAAACCAAGAAACAAACAGAGACACAGAAGAATAACGTGAGTGAATAAACCAAATATAAAACAGGGCTGACATCATCACGACACCCCCACCGTCTCTTATGGCCACAGGGGATACAAGCGTTCATACTGCAGCGTCTACAAACAAAACAATGCTGAGCTTTTCATTTTTGTGTTAGCGTGCATACCCTGCTTCATCTATTAGATCAGAGCAGAACATTTTTACTATAAGGAGGTCAGTTAAAGAATTTTCCTCTCCTGGCAGCTTGGATGACAGAGCATCAAAAGATAAGATAAAACTTCCTTAATTCCACACCAGGGATTTGGTTACTACAACAGCAGTTTTGACACATGGTAACACAAAAAAGTTAAAAACAATACACTGTGAAATAAAAGAGCAGTGCAGTTTAAATCTCAGAATTTAACCCTAACTCTAAATCTAATTAGTGCTTGTTTGATAAACGTCCCATTTTTTTACCTATAGAAGCTGTGGTTCTCCACGCAGACCTTCCACAGCTTCTTGGCAGAGCGATGATTCTGGAGTTTGAATCCCACCGTGCTCTCAAACTGCTCCGTCTAGCACAAAAGAAAGAAAGAAAAAAAAAAAACAAGTACATGAAGATATTTCATACAACACAACTGTTAAAACATGACTTGTTTATTCTCCTCTGTTAACACAAGTGAGATTCATTTCTGGTCCCGTGAGCAGGACGGAGTAAACACTACTCACGACAGTATTTACTCTGCACATGTGCTTGTACAAACCTCTCCAGGCCTGATCTTAATGTAGAAGTTGTTCCTCTTGTATGAAATTTTGAGGATTTTGGGCCAAGCAAAACGATTTATCCGAAGTCTGTCTTTGTAAACCAGGAGTCCGTTGGCGCACACGCCCAGCATGAGGTCCACGCCCTCGGAATCCTGTCAGATACAGTTAAAAAATGATTCATAATCTTCACAGGACCCTTTAAATGCACCTGCTTTTATGGCTAAATCTAATCATACCATGCATGTATTGATTTTTTTAAAGTAGTCTTCTTAAGGTCAACAGAAACTCAATTACACACTCGCACACACGCAGATAGTTGGTAAACACAGCAACACAGGAGACTGGCTCACTGACAAAGCTTTTATGTCCATAACCATCTGGTAATGATAAGGAGGTATTGATTACAGTGGCGAATTAACAGAGGGAAAAACTGTTGCACTAATGGAGGAGGAAGTATGTTGCTAATGGTCAGTTCAACTGAGACATACAGCACACAGATGTCACATGGCTCAGCTCATGCTTTTCCACAGACATCGATCTCTGTCCTTGCTGTGAAGTGAAAATGCTTTGAAAGTGAAAATGCATTAACAAACCGTGCTGGTTAATTTAATATACTATTCAAGTGGATTATATATTTGGTATGTTATACATCGAGTGTTCCGCTTTATCATAAAAATGTTGTATTTGGAATAGTAAATTTAAATATGACAAAATGAGAGGTCAGTCTATTTGGTCTGGTGTCTCTGAATCTCTCCTTCTATTTAAGGACTCCTTTCCCTTTTCTCTCCCTTGTGCATATTTACCATTTCTACTCTCTGTCCTTTCTGCACAGAGACACACAATTAGACACATGGAAAAAATGCATGCACTCTGCAGATGACCTGCAATCCCACTGAGAGAGACTGCCTGTTCCCATAGCAATGGACTCCCTAAGTGTTTGTACAGCTGACACACACGTACACCCGGGGAAACACAAAAGCACAGACACAACATTCCACTTAAACCACATCAAAGAAACTCTGTTAATCCCAAGATAACAACAGAAGAGAAGAGGATTCACTGGTACCTTGGCGGGGTGCAGGTCCACTCCGTACATGGACAGTTTCTTGGCATTTTCCAGAAACTGCGTGTCGGCCTGTGCTGGTGTCATTCCCCTAAATACACAGGAACAAATACATCACTAAGAAAGCCCTCAGATTCTGTTGAATAGTTGTGTTTATAGCAGTGGTCCCTGACCTTTTTTTGGCATATATTTTGACATCACAAATTTCTGGCGACCCCAGAGACACTTTAGTAGTTGTCACTTGATCACAGCCGTCATTGAAAATGCACTGGCTCAGATATTTTAAATGCTGTATTATATTTGAGCATTAAGTTTTTTGTTTTTTTTATCAAATACTAGACATCAGGCGACACGATTTGAATTCCAGGCAATCTGTGTACGATCGTGACCCCAAAATTGAAATGCAGTGGTTTATATTGTACACAAGTGTCCATTAAATAATGACTGGGACAGATGTTAGTCACATTCCAACTAAAGAGTTCACTGAAAAGTCAGCAAATGTTCCCAAAGTTTTTGGAATGACATCAACAAGTCCTGTCTGACCTGTGAGACTTGTGGAGTTCAAATATCTTCTCCTCCATCTCTCTGTTCTGACTGGGTGCAATGTTGAGCTGGTTGATATAGTCCAGAGGTCGAGGCTGGTCTGGGTCATAGTCACCAAATTCTGCCTGTGAAAGAACCGGGAAAGAACTCTCTGTTTACTAACAGGACACATGAAAGAAAGAGCGGTGCCTGCACGTTCACTTGCACAAGTTGTGCCGTACCTGCAACGTGTACGATCCCAGCAGAGCGTGAGTGACGAAAGAGCACGGCAGTCGACCGGTGGCTACATCTTCACGGAGCTGCAAACACAACAGGTACCTACGGAGGAAGAATGAAAGACGTCTATTTACCGCCGTAACAAACAGTATGCTGCAGTGTGGGCTCTAATTAGGAGCTGAAGCTAAGCTTTAGTCAACATCCTAACATTCCTAAACTTGCAGTGTTAAGTGTATGTGAGTGTGTTTCTGAGCATTTATGAAAGAAATCATTACATGAATAAGGTCTTTGTAAATGACTTGTTCTGAAACCTCGGGATACTCAGCCTCCATTGAACACAATCTCTTTCACTTTAGCAGGACAGGACATGGAGACTTGAACCTTAGTCATTCTGTTACAGGGCTTTCTGTTCACCAAAGCAAAACCCAATAAAGTATTTATGTGAACAAATGCAGTGTTGGCCATCGCAAGATCTTTGAACAGACAAAAAGGACATAGGCTTTTAAGCGGCAAACAAGGAATACTAAAAAGAAAATGTTCTGTTTGTTAGTCGAGACAAATGTTTGTCTGGTGCATCTAATATTTTTCACTCTTGATGGGGTCTTTAACAGTAAATTTGAATTTTTAAGTCATACTAATGGCTGGTCAACACTAAATACTGTGACCAGTGTAGGCTGTTAGTTACACGTTCATGTGTGTGCTGGCGTGTCCTCGATTAGCCTTCAGCTGCAACCATCACAGAAGTTGTTCGCTCCATTAGACATACCATTCAGCCTCAACGCAGTATGTTCGGAGCACGCCAGTGTGTGGCTCTGCATATGTATAAATAGGCTCTGATGAAGTTAGCACTACAGCAGAGAGACTGATTATCAGGTGAAAGGAGTGACACTTGTCTGACCTTTTTGGGGGGTTGAAACCAAAAATAGAGCTCAAAGGAGGGAGAATAATGACTCGTCTGTTTAAATTTTGACAAAATAGAGCTCAAAGGAGGGAGAATAATAATAATTTTGACCTTTTTTATTTTAGGTGGATAGATCTGAAAACTACCTCAGCTCTATCAATTCTATCCAGCTCCCTTCCCACAAAGACTCATCTGTTTATACAGATTTGAATACATAATGGTATAATCCTTAACATGTGTGTCTGCGTACCTGGTTATGTCTTCACTGAGCAGCGACGGGTCAGGAGGGTAGAACTTGACGTTGAAGGAAAACTGCCAGTTGTTGCCTGAAGAAGGAGAGACGTCAAGAGTGATTTAAACGTGCGGTGACATCACATATGAAAACCATCTGAGGTTTTCTTTACTGCAGGATGAGAATGTCTGGCTGCACTTGTCCTTGCATGTGTGCGTGTGTGAGTGAATGTGAATGAGGAAAACAAATGCAAAACAGCTTCTAAAAAAACTATGCTATGCAAACAAATTGATAAAATTAGAAATGAAAAACAAATAATATTATCATAGCTGGAGAGAATAGCAGGCTAATATTTATCATCAGGAACAGAAGCGTGTTAACTGGCGACTGAGACAACTGTATTCAATCCCACATCTCATAGTTTCCTGCTTGTGTGGAACAGATTTCATTTTCCATTTCAATTCGGCTGCGGTCTCATTAGATCATTTTAGCAGGACGCCGTATTGCCGTCCTTCTGGTGTCCGCACAGCTACACAGACACGCTCGCTCCAAACACTCAGTCCTGATAACACACGAGATGAGATCACATCGGCTGGAAAATCCAATAGAGGAGACATCAAGTCACGACCGTTCTCCCAACTCTCTCAAGGTCACGGCCACATCGATGGGCAAGCGGACGTGCACCGATAAAAGCTCACATACACACACCCAGGGGAAAATGTGTCACTGTAAAAGCACTTAGGGAAATTCTACACTGACATGATTAAAAATATCAATTCTTTCCACTACTGCCACAACACACATGTCCGTTCTTTCTTTGGTAAAATAAAGTAAAAAAATAAATACTTTTAGAGCACATTTCTACTTCCTGATCCGTGTGTGTCTCCTGGTGAGTGAGTATTGGTGTGTGTGTGTGTGTGAATTCTGTGAGTGTGATATTGAATTTGGATATCTTCCTGGAAGTGTTCAGAGGGTCTCCTGTGACCATTTCAAAATTCCACTGAAACCATGTCCTGTCCATCACATCCAGCAATGTGAATTTTTAATCTGATTAATCACATGACACAATAAGCTGTGATTAATCGACATTAAGTGACAGATCTACAGTAAATTTGACATTTATTTCTGTATATTGCTGAAAAAGAAAGACAAAAACTCCCTACTTTCTAAAATAACAGCATTGTCCCTTTTTGTAGCCTTAACAAAATGTTGTGTTCTCCATGAAACTTTAGGAGAAAAAAATAAAAACTGAAACATGACTATAATGTGAAGAGAATGAAGGTGTCAGCCTGTTTGACACTCAACCATGACGTGACAAACATGAGGGCTGCTGTCAACCATTAACAGCAGCCACATGGCCTGCAGAGGTCTGCTGACTGGACTCAGCACCGACTGACCAGCTTTTCTGCTCAGCGTCCAGGGAAATTTAGCATGACTTTGGAGGAGTGAAGGAGTCCTGTTTCCATTATTTGTTACTGTGAAATCTAAGAAGGAGCTCCTTTGCTCACTCTGAAGAACCTGTGTTTTACTTTTGCTGCTTCGGTCACTTGAGAACTGACAGTTTCACTGTCGAGTTCCCATGCATGGTTCGTCTCACTGTGGGCAGCCGAGGCATGAAATCCATGTTTGTTTACTTTAGTTTTGCTCTAACATCAGACATTGCACACTGTGAGGGAAAATGTAATTCCTGATATCACCCAGTATATAATATTAATGGTATTTATATGATAATGTATACAATACATTGTTTCTAACAAACTCCAAATTATTAGTCATGTTGTTCCTTTGCAAAAAAACAGTGGGGTAAAATTAAGATCAGAAGACCATCAAACCCAGCAGATTTAAAGATTGGCCAAAGAAGAATACTTAAAAACAACTGCAGTCTGATATTCTACATTTCAAAACAGACTTTCAGGATTTGGAATGCTAATTATCTGATATTTTTGGAGGGGAATGAGGGATTGAATGAGGGACGAGCACAACCATGCTTTTGTGATTAAAACAAATATTTACTGCCATAAATATTTTAAAAGGTCGATGTTTATTGACAGTGCTATGTATAATCTAATTATAATTATCCAATTATCTAAAAATAAATAAATAATGCAATTTCCCAGCCTGGATCAATAAAGTATATCTATCTTTCTATCGATCTAACTAGTAGCACAGTAGTACACTGTTACATCAGTACATGTCCAAACACTGTTACAAATATAACTGAACTTAATCCTATCTCTAACTTTAATCTGACTCCAACTCTGATTCTACCTCCAAACTAAATCTAGAACCCCAAAACACCATCTCTCTACGTGAGAACCTGCAAAATGTGCCTACAAGGACAGAATGTCCCGTCAAGTACCAGGAACTCACACCAACACCCACACAGTGAGGCATCAGTCTCACATGATCGCAGGAACACATGATAATATAATCTTTCTCACTCTCCTCCCCTTCCTCTCTCTGTATAAACAGCCACACACACACACACACACACACACACACACACACGGTAGAAAAAATGTAACCCAAAGAACACATGTATCCAGACGGAGTGCTCTCATCCCTGTGCCGCAGACACACACAGCTACACCACCACAAAAACACAGGCATGCGCGCTCGCCGCACACTCACATATCCTTAGGGACCCACACACACTCTCACATACGTCAGTTCCACATAAACTTAAACTAAAATAACTTTTTATATGAACAAAATGACATGTTTTTCCCTCTTTCTTCCTCCTAACAGTGTGTTTTAAGTCTGCTGCGACCTATGGAAACAAAAGAGACAAGAAAGACACGTGTGCTGCAGAAACGTCAGGGACTTCCACTAGATCCTTCCAGAAAGTATTTTAGTTTCATTGAGAAGGAAATTATTTTCAAGTGTCAAATATTTACCGTGTCCTGAAATAACAGAGCACTTTGTTTGCTGGGCTGTATCACACCCTTGGTAGCCGTCTGTGAAGAAAAGCAGCGACGCCACACCTTGGCCTACATTTAAAGACTGGCGACATTTTATAAAAAGGATGGATAAATAATGAAGCAGAGTGATCGCTCCCTGGTAACCTCCGGTACGCCGACAAACTGCTGTCGTTTGGTTTCAAATGTCTCTGTCTTTGTTGGGCAGAGCTGTGGTGCAGTTTGTTTTCCTAATGCTACGAGGAAACCTGATCTGATGTTTTCATTACTTAGTATTTATTTATGTATTCACGGTTTTGGTGTTTTTACATGCAACACAGGAGAACAGAAACCGAGACAATTATAATAACAAAACACTTACTGCGTATCTGCCGCTTTATTTCCTTCATTGGATCCAACCAACACTGAAATGAGCAAAAAAGAAAAAAAAAACACAAATGACACATTCTCTGTTACAGAACGTGGCGACGGTGTCCAGACGCACATAACTGCATGTTCCACTCCACTACCATGTATGTACTGTAGGTGTTTGCAGATTCCTACCTTTTGCTCGTGGTTGTCCTTGTATGTCAGTCCAAAGTAGTCTTTTTCCAGAAGATTCAGGTGCTCACACACTTTGAAGAACAAGTACTGACCTTTGGCACGCTTCTGTGGAGTCACAGACACAAACATTATAATACATAATATGAATTGAAAAGATAGTATATACTAATGTATATATAATTTTTTTTCTATAGTTTTAAGTTAGACTACAACTGAAGAATGGTGAACATCAGAGACATTAAAATACCTATTTTTTACTAATAATTTCCAGGTATTAACCAGTTACAAAAACACAGACATTTTTACTATCCAGTTTCTCAACACAATCAATCAGTGCAGCATGATCATTTATGAAAATTAAGAGTTTTTTTGTTTAGTGTAGACAGTTTAGTCTTTAAGAAGTAAGGCTTCTGTACATTTTGTATCTGCTCCTATTGCAGGGCTGACCTGTCTACAGCGTGTTCTCCATGAGTTTAAAGAATTTAAAAATCATGTGAACAACCCTCAAGGCTTGAAACATATGTCAGGAAAACAAGTGTTCCATATAAAAAAAAACTTCTTTATGTGCATGGATAGAAATGGATGTTCTTGTCCATAGCTACAGCGCTAATCAAAGCATCTCTGTTCCTTCTCTTCCATCTAAATCCACTCCTTTATTCTCTTGCTCTTTTTGCCCCGGTCTCTCCGTCTGTCTCTGGGCAGCACATTCCTTCATAACTCCCGATGGGAGCCGCAGCCATAAAATCCTCCACACTCAGCTATGACAATGACATTTAGCTCACGGCCGTGCACGCGTGCCCGCACGCAGACACACAACAGTGCCCTTTGGGCAGAAAGAAGGTCAGACGCAAAGAGTGAAAGAGAGGGTGGAGAAAAAAAGGCAAGAAAGAAGGAAATAATTTAATAACGCACATTTCTTTTCAGTTAGCACAGCCCCAGTCTGACACTTGCAGAGACGTTCCACAGACGGCGTGGTCAAAGTGGAAGGAAAAGAGGATGAAAGAGGCCTTTTTTCCCTCCGCTCCTGCAACAGCTGAAAACATCTGCAGACACATGCGCCACATACTCTGACTGTCTGCTCTCCGAACATCTGAAGAATGTGACCTTTTCGGACTTTACCATCTGTGACCAGAGCACGGCTCTACCTTAGATCTGTCTATAGGACGCTGGAGAGATCTGAGAACGTACACTGTAGAAGAAGGTGCAGGTTTTGGTGATTTATTTAAATATTTTGGGAGTGTCACATAAGTAACCATGCACTTCTCCTGAACTCCTAAGTAAAACTTCAGTTCATCACGCTAACAGCATACAGTGTCTGTAGAATGTCTGTAGAACTAAATGGGTGCTTAAATGGCCTTTTTTAAACCTGCATTGACCGTTTGTTGGGTCTACACATTCCACACAGACACAAACATGAATTCACTGAAGTGTAAATTCCTCATAATTTACAAAAATAAATTTACCCTGGTCTGATTGAGACCTAATGAAATTCCCTGAAATGCTGCCTAAACCGTGTGACACTGAAATCCGGCTGAAACCAACACTAATGAAGTTCTCAGAAATGGCATTAAGACCATGTGACAAGGCAAGGAGTCGCCTTTGAAACATACTCTTGGAGTTAGAGTCGAGCCGAGGTTTTAATTCCACCAACTCCAAACAATGAAAAATGTATTAACCTGAGTCATTACGTGAATGAATGTGATGCTAATGTGAATGGATAGGAAAAAAAGGGGAAGAAAACATGCGAGACGGATTAGGTTTGTGTGTATGTGTGTGTTTGTTGGAATGAGAGTGATCAAAAATAATAAAAAAAAAACAGACAAACTTAATGTCTGGAATGCATTGTGATTCTCTATCTCACGACCTCAACTCTGCCAGTGTAGAGGGAGGGACAGATTGATATGCAAGTGAGAGTGTGTGCATGTAGAGTGTACTCTGAGTGTGTACTTGTGGACAAAAGCTGAGTTGCAGTATCAGCATTATCTCTCCTGGGACAAAGCAGGTACTGTTCAAACAACTGTAGACGGTCACAGACTCACTGCTGGGCGTTGGCATGAACTGAATCAAAAATCTAGTTTACTAGAGCAAAGATGCCAGTTAGAATTCCAGAACAAATTTGGACCTGGAACAGCTGAGCGCTCGATGGCGTTCCTTATGAAGCAGGCATCAGTGAATGCAGTTTGTTGGAGGCTTTGCCAGCAAACTGCAAAAAACTGCAAAAAATATAATCATATTTTAATTTTTTTCATTTTAATTGCTAATGATTGACCAGCACTTTCATTGTGATCGACCTGTAGATCCTGATCTACTTATTGGACACCTCTGATCTACAGTGTGTCTTGATTTGGTGACATGTGATTAATTTAAGATCAACACGCGTACTTGACTGCATGCGTGTGTGTACAGGGTGTAGGCCACGTGTCTGTTGCTGGTGTAGCAGATGCAGAACAATAATCTGGTAGGCCCTAATCTGCCTGGTCTGTGTGCAAATGTGTGTGTGTGCTTGTAGTAAGAGAGAGAGAGAGAGAGAGAGAGAGGGTGGTTCCAGGTATAAAGTCACCAGACAGTGTGTGTTTATCCCTCAGACCACACCCCAACTCTGTGATAGGACTCTTCTGCTACAACTGTACTCTAAGTCTGAAAATATGTAAGCCTCCACACACACACACAAAATTAATCACACACACACACACACACACACTGATCCTATTTGCAATTACATCACTGACACACTGACAGTAACATGTGGTCTCCATGACTACTGACAATAGTCTGTTACTATAATGTCACTTTGACTTATTGTAGTGTAATAAAGGACACTTGTTTTTGATGCGTTCAACGCTGATAATGTGACAATGAAAGGAGTCAGGAGTTAAACGTTTCCTCTAAGGAGTTTTCCTCCAGTGACATGTGTGTTATGTGTTAGCGGTCTCCGGCCTCAGTCCCTAAAGGATGGAGTAATTTTGCAAAAATGTGTGTATGATTGTGCATTTTTGTCCAATTACACCTTTCTCTCTAATTTTAGCAAAAGCATCATCATTCTTTCCTCAGTTATGTCCCAGTTTCTGCTATTACATTAGCAGAGCAAAGTCTAATATCTAAAGAAAATCTCTCCTAAGAAAGTATTATTCCACTGCGTGCAGGAATGAAGTAAACCACAAACAGTAATTAAAGGCACAGGCTGACAAACACTGTTAAAAGCCAGGGAAACATGTTACCCATTGGTTTGATCCCATGTGATCAGGACAGAACAACATGAGAGGGATCTGGTTTTTTTCCTCTAAACAGATGCTGAGAAAAAGTGAGCAGAGTTCAGTGTAGCAATACAACTTTAAAACGTCTTTTTGACCACACTCTTTAGTAATTATTGGTGTATACATCACACAAACATGTCTCACCTCCACCTCACAGGTGAAGTCCGTTCCATCCAGTAGAGCCACTTGACACACCACCAGCTTCATCTTGGCCTTCCTCACCAGACGTAGAGGAGACTGGAAGATAGAGGTTTGGCCTTCGACTCCTCCACCTCCACCCCGAAGCCCTCCTTCTTTTCCTTCCTTTTCCTCCACTTGTTCTTCTTTTGTCTCTTGTGACCTTTCAGGACTTTTCTCTGCACTTTCTTCCTTGGCAGGCTGGAGGAGGTGAAAGATGTGAGGTAAGAAAGTAAACTACAGTCCCACTGAGACAGTTTTCTCCATTTTCTTACACAGTAACTTCATGATAAAAAAGTCATAATGTACACAGTGGTATGAGGGAGAAGCAGTTTGTCCTAAGGAGAGAAGAAAACCTTTTCAGCTTTGAGTCTGAATCTGCTCTTACAACAGAGGTCTGATAATGAAAACACTGATGTCACTGGGTGGGCCCCGATGACTTAATGTGATCACTGGATGGAATAGATTATGTGTGCTCATGTTCAGGAGGGAGAAGTGGTTTTCCTGATCATTTTCAACAGTCCAAGTTACATTTTCACACAGCTCTGAGCCACAATTTGGGATAAAATATTTATCCCACATTAAAAACAAATCCTGTCTTACTTCTTCTTTTTTGGAAGTTTAAATTAAATATTAAACTGGTGTGCACTCCTGCCTTAAAGAAGATGTTTGCTGGTCAAATCCCCAGTCTTTAGGCATGGCATTTTCATGCTCTCTTTGTGTTTGCATGGATGTTTTCTTTTTTTGGGAGGAATCAGGGTGGTCACCTGAAAATATGTAGGATGAGGCTGAATGCTCATGTTTATGGAGTCTGACGGCAGTACCTCAGTGTCTGCGCTGGCGTTGGAATGAGATTCCGCTTCTGTTTCCTTAACTTGCTCTGACTTTACTGTCTCCTTCTCTTCCACTTCCTCTGTGTGACCATTCACTTCTGGGACAGGCCCCTCCCCTTCCTGTTGGCCTGCACTAATGGCTTCCTCTGAGGGTGGCGCCTCCTTAGTTGGAGAGATTTTCATGTTTCATGGGGGAAGATAATAAAAAAAACACAGGCAGGTATTAGAGCAGCAAGTGATCTCCTTATTATTCTATAATCTGCCAAAATGATAACTTTTGTTTTGACATTTTACATAAAAACCTGTACCTGTGCCTGAGACTTTGGCTTCTTAAGCCATGTTGGCAGGAACTTGGAGATTCCTTTTCCCTCTTTTCCTTCTTTCTCCTTCTCCTCCTTCTCTTTCTCCTTCTCCTCCTTCTCTTTCTCCTCTCCCTCCGTAATCACTTCTTCCTGAGTTTCCTCTGTTGCCTTCTCCGGTTGGTCAAGCTGAGCAGCTGACTCCTCAGCTTTCTCCTTCACCTCTGTCTCAGAGCTCACTTCTGTTGTCATGGTGACAAGTCAACCTGCAGCAAGATGAAGCAAAACATCTTTCAGATGATTCATAAAAAAACAAAATCCAATATCAGCACAGATGAAAACACGTCAGTTGAAAGTGTGACATAGCAGATCATCACACAGAGGAGCTGCAGCTGTATGAACATGAACAGTAGGAAAAGATGACCCACTGACTTTTTCTTCATTAACAATGTTTTTTTTAAGGAAGAGAACTTACTGTGATTACTAGTTGTGGTGCTGCAATAACTATGACTTACTTTTTAACACATGGATGTGATGATAAAAATAAAGGGAAAAAACTCCAATTTAAACCATAAATTACATTCTTACATTCTTTACTTTGACGATCCGAAATCTTTCCAAAAAATGTTCATCATTTTGGAATCAAGTGTAAACTGACTCCAATTAGAAAACACTAAAATAGAACAACTACTGTACAATTGTTTAAGTGAAAAAAAAAGGCCATCAGTTACCAACAGGGTTTGAACCAATGATCGTATTGTCATCAGGAACACAAGTCAAAGGGAGGAGGATTTCTTTTTTCAATTCTTAACAAGTGAATTTCATCACCCTGCAGCTGTGGTCAACACAAACCTAGACAAACACACACACACACACACACTCTTCAACCCAAATATCTTGGACAGTTCTGTCCACACACACACTGCGCTGCAGCATGACCCTAATCTTGTGATGATGAACACGAGATGATTGTGACATTGGCCTTAAGGACAAATCAAGGTCAGGAAGAGCAGCGTGTCTGCCTACGCAGCCTTTTTGGTCTGGGGTGTGTGTGTGTGTGTGATTGTGCACTGCTTCAGGCTAAGGGTTAGGAATGATTCATATCCTACTAGGTCATTGTCCTGAATCTTTCTAATCCTGTTTTCTCCATCAGCTTTCCCTCCTCCCTGCAATTCGATTACCCATGACACGACCAGATTCACAAGTGAACAACATTTTGCCATTTTTCTGACCTTCTATTTTCAAAACTGGTACCTTCATTAGTAGGACACACACGCACACATTTTCACAGTGCATCATTGGTGTGCAAGGCAGTGGCTGGAGTAAAAATAGAACCAATCTCTATATGCATGATGAGTTAATGAGGCAGACAGAGGTGAAGCAGCGATGCCTTCAGAGGTTAGAAGTAGATTCATTTAGTTGAGCTTTACTAGTGTTTTGTTCATGGTAATACCTGCAAGACAAATGGATAACTGTATTTTCTCTAAAGTGAAAGGGGCTGCAAAAGTCAAAGGCTTTGACTTTGACAAATGTGTTGTTCACAAGAAGCAAACTTGTTTAAAAGTAAACATGACGTATGTTGTGTCCTCTCCACAGTCAAATTGGTACTGCAGGAAAAACCCAGCTGGAAATTCAGAAACATTTGACCTATCAAAAAGCATTAGGTCCAAATATCAATGAGGAATGATATTCAGGAATGATTATCTTTGAAAAGATGTTTATGAAAACCAGACGAGGGGAAGTGGGATGAACTGCCAACTCATCGAGGGTTTTCCAAGATTCTTGTATCAAGCACTGCAAACAGGTGCAATTTCTACACCTGGAACCGTGACTATCTCTGCTAGAACTTTTCAACTTTGTCCTATTCTATTTCTCTTCATCCATTTTATTCTTCTTTCCTTCTATCCAACCTATCGGTACCTCTTCTATTTTTTTTTTTTTTGCTCCACTCATTTCTCTCCCGCCCACTCACATTTTGTCCCCCTGATGTACCTCCTCTTCTCTCTTTTTCCCACAGTCTATATAAACAGCAGTGGTGGCATCATGACGGCCTCGCCTTGAGTCTACACAAAGTACAACATTTTACTGCAGTAAAACCATGTGTTTAGCAAATAAAATACAGATAGTCCATGTAATAATTGTTTTTGTGTATGACATGGCTACAGCTGTAGCAGAAGTTTCACAGCAGCGCTGTCTAACAACATTACCATTTGTTTTTATAACGTTACGTTCCAAACCTTATCACCATCTTTCCAGAACTCACTTCCTTAACGTCATATTTAATTTATATATTTAAATAACTACAAAGCCACATGTTTACAAGGCAATTCACCACCAGACTTTCAGGTGCATCATTTAACTCACACGTTAACACACACACACACTAATGTCTCTGTTCCATCCTTTGCAGTTCAAATGTATTGACCTTAATGTCAATTATCAACACCTGTTATTAACTATTTAGATGCTGATATTGCACATTTGTTTCGACACATGTACAGTAACAGCCTTACCTCTTGTTGTTTCTGTTGTTTTTTTCTGTGTAACTCTTTTCCATTTGCAACTTTCCTTCACTTCACACTGGGTTTGTTTTGTTTCTTTTGTCCCTTTTCTGTTTCAGTTTAAATCACTCTATTTTGGTCCGTTTTTTCCACTTTTGACAAATGTCTGTCCTAGTGTCATTGCTATTTTCCCTCCTCTATCCTCTTCCCTGGCAACCTCGGAGTGTCTTCCCCCCCAGAGACATCCACTGACAGAAAAGAGGACAGGAAATGAGAGAGAACAGCGAGATACAGTGATGGGGATGTGGAGATGGCAAAGAGCAATAAGGACACAGTGAAAGAGACCGGGAGGTGGAGCATGCATGGTTAAAATAATGAAGGAAATAAAGAAAAATCCACCTACTTTTCAAGTGTACGTTGTCAGTTTAAAAAAAAACAGAATACAACTCTGATGTTGTTTAGTGAGGAGAGGTACTTGTTTTAAAACTGAATTAAATTCATGAACTACGATAATAAATCCCAATGGAGACCAGACATTACCCAGGCAGAGACTGAGGTCAGTGGACCGAAAAATGACAATAGAGATTATGCCTCGTCTCTAAACCCATTTAAAACCACATGAAACATCGTGTGGTTGACCATGGTGGAATGGCAACAGCTACTTTTTCACTCTCTCCACTCATCAGTGATGCGCCACACCCAATATCGAGGCTACTTGAATTACAACAGCCCAGATGTATGCATGTAAGTCAGTGTGTGTTAAGCAGGTGCTGCTTAACAAATGAAGAGGTTTTAACGAGGCGATTAATGATCTACTCATGAAGCTAACAGGCACAGGACAATGTAAACACCCTCTGTGTAATTTGCATAGAAGGGTGTTTAGGTTCAGCTCAATACAATCACTGAACTACTGATAGGAGCCAAACTAAGCCATTTAAATTAATTCAATATTTAACTGAGAACTGTGGCTACAATCTCATTCTAAAAACACAACACTGCTCTCAATTTTGCTCAATTGTTTCAAATTTCTATTTCTCAGGATTGCTGATCAGACCAAAGTAAACTGAATTTATAACCTGTAGCCTGTCCTGGACAGCTGTAGCCACCAGATAAACAGCAAATAAGTGTTGTGCAGGACGGCATGCATACATATTGAAGCTCAAAAATTGGCAAGCAGAAACGTAGCATAATTCAGGTTCTCCTAAATTTATAAAGTGAAGTTCTACAAATGGTCCTTCATGTCCCATTGCTGTCTCAGTTTTAAGCAGAGCAAATGAAAGGTCATCATCTAAGTGATGCTTAGGTGTCTGGCACTTTGTCATTACTGCTATCCCTGTGTTATTACTGTCAGCTGGTAAGTGCTATTGTCGCCTGCAGATGCTTACTCTCTCAAACAAAAAGTCTCCAACTCAGTCCCACACTCTCTCACTCATGATCACTTTTACTTTGAAGTACTTTTTTTTGCCATGTACATTACTGAATAAGTTGTTTTGTTTTTTCATAATAAAACAATACATTTTACTAAATAGTAAAATAGTAATAATATTTTTTTTTTTTTATGTGGGAACACGCTGTCTTTGGAGGAACATTTTGCAGGTCCCTGCTGAGATAGAGAGTATTTTCAGGTTCAAGATTTAGTATGAGGTTAGGATTAGAACAAAAGTCAGATTAGAATTAGGGTAAGGATTAAGACAGGGTATATACTATACTGTTATGGCTATGGAAATACATTATGTTTATGTGAAGTACTAACAACACAGAAACTAGTACGCTACTCAGTAATAAAGGCAATCAGGTGCAATTGTCCCATCTGTGTGAACTCAGAGGCTGTAACATGAGTGAAGAGGCAGAGAAGAGTAGGGGGAAACACACTCGTTAGCTCCTAGGAAAACAGGACGTGTGTGAGTCAAGCTCAAGAAGAGACGACGAAACCACTGGTGAAACTGCACAGTTCTGTTTCAAATAGCAGAGGGTGTGGTGTTACCATGGCAACAAACATCCCAAAGAGATTGGTTGCAACAGGTGCTTTGTGCCCATTATTACAGCTACATGATGGAGATCAAGTAAACATCTCCTCTGGCACAAAGTGTGAATAATTAAATATTGATTAGAACGCACTGAAAGCTTTCCAAATGCTCCCAACCAAAATCTAATGATCAAAGTCTTATCACCGATTCACAATGACCAGGCTACACACACACCAAAATTAGGCACAGCCCTCATGAGACCATGACGTGTCCCCATTTTCAGACCTTCTATCTGGTCTGTTATTGCGAGGACATGCTCTCTTCAAACAGCAGACAGAGATAATGAAAAAACAGCAGCAACAATCCTTTCTACTCAGGGAGGTCAGTGACCGGCCACACAAATTATATTTAGTCACCAAATATCAGTTAATACCACACCACTGACCTCTGACCTCTTGGAGGTCTTATCAGAAAACAGGAAGCATTTCCCGTGTTCCTATGTTTCCCATACATAATGAGCCTGAGGTGCGACAGCAGAGTCTAACTTTCTCTGATTATTGTTCTAAAATGTATTTAAAAATATATATCGTATATATGCTAATTAATGATCCTAAAATCGAATTCATAGAGAGACTCTAAATGCTTAAAAGAATTGACCCTTTCCATATTTACTTCCAACAACTCTATCATCATGGCAATGGCACTGTGGCTGTTTTCATGTTTACATGTAAATGCACCAATCTGAGGGCTGTGACCTGATACAGCCTATTCAAGCCTGTTTCTCATGACTACGTGTTGGCAGGAAAGGCAAGTTCACAATAAGTGAAGTGTAGCCTCCTCCACTGTCAGAGCTTTGTTTAACTACTTTGGTAACGTAATAGGTTTTCTTATAAGAGGTTTCTTTCTTCGGTCTTTGTGTACGCCTACAATGAGTTTCTCAAGTTTTCGGCTCACGCTGTGAGAAGACAGGGCTTTAATTTGGGGGGAAAAAATCCTAGGGTTTAGCACGGAAAGTATTGTTTTCACCCTGTAAACGAATGATAACAAAGCTCACAATAAAAAGGTCTATAAATGAAATACTTTAAACATGCCATATACACTTGTATAAAGAGAATACATTGCCTTTAAAAAGAATCTTCTTTTTATTTAAAAGAAATAAAAAGAACCACATGTTTGATGGCAGAGAAATGACACAAAATTTCATCATCTCACTGAGTATCCACACCAAGTTCAAGTAGCTATAATAACCTAATTGTCTTTTCAACTCCAGCTTACCGCCTCCCATCTGTTGCATTTTTGAGCAGTGGGTGAGACTGGCTGGTGCCCCTCTCTCTTTGTCTGAATCCTTCCCTAACACACAAAATCATGTTCACACACTCCACTGGGTTCTTTAGACACTTTTTCAAAATGCTTTACAAACTAATGAGGGTGAGCTAACAAGTCAACAACATCCTTGCCCCGGACACTCCCCTCACTTCCTTTCCTTCACCCTCCCTTTGTATCTATTCTTTATACCTAAGCCTCTCAGACATGTTAACAAAATCTATAAATTAATTACAATAATATATATATATATATATATATATATATATACATACACACACATATATAATAGAATAAAATAAGGTTGCATAAATTAATGTCCTAAAAATGTAATTTTTTTTAACAGAGATATTTTCCATTTTTAAAATAATATAATAATATTGCTGTTTTCAGTTGGCTCAGTGAACACATAAACATCATCTGAATTTAATTTTTTTTTTGGTGGAAAAAAAAATTGCTTTCGTTTGGGCTGCTCAAACAGATAGAATCTGACATGTGGTCAGTTCCTTTGTAGATGCAAACCTCATGTGTAGCTCCCTACCATGCAGCCTTTGCAAGACGAGGGCCGTGCTCTGCACTGATCAGCGCTCTCTCTCTGTGAGAATGTGACCCTATGCTGATTAATCTGTTTTTAACTATGTTTGGCTTCCCGCCAGAGCCACAGACCCACACTCTCTACCCTCTGGTTTTATTCCATCGTTTCTTTCAGAGATGGACACACACCATGCTGTTCCTGTTTTATACTAGGACATCTTGTTTAGGAAAAGGTTCTGAATCTCTGTTACTACACATATCACTCATTCACATCATCATCGTCATTTCAGGCTATTATCTGTTGTTTTTCCAGTTTTCATTCATCCAGGCCTCTCAGATCTTCTCTGTGTGAACATAAATGCCAGGGTGGCCAACAAACCAACCTCCTACCGAGCAAGAGGTTAATGCACAACAGAGTTCCCAATTGTAGCCAAATGCTACATGACAAAGTATTCACTTTGATATGAAAGGTTATGAAAGCCCTTAACTGTGCTGTTACAACAGAGGCAATCGGTGATCTGTGACCTTCTACCTAAGATATTCTGATTCTTTATGTACTTTTAAAAGCACTTGTAACTAATTACACAACTTGATGGGACACAGTAGAACTATTTGTGTGTCCCTGAACTGATGTGACATGTTTGGCTCCTGTTAACACACAAGGTCAGGATGAAAATACACACACAGAGAGATGTTCCCATAGCCTTTCCGAATGGTTAAGCAATATCACTGTCGCTCAGGCTCAGCCCGTCTTTCACTTTTAGTCACTTCCTCTCCATTTGTTTCTGCTATTACCTCTTTCAACTTGGGTCACCTTTACGTTCCTCCTGTTTTTTATCATTTTTGACAACCTTTGTTCACCCAGTCCACCGTTCTGCTATCAAAAGGCATAATTAAAAGGCTGGGGGTTTAAGTATGTATCACTTAACTCCAAAGACAAAATGATTCCAGTCTTTAGAAAAAATGGTTCTGATTTAAGAGTACTAACAGTACAGCTCTGATGTTTTGGAAACAATAATAGGTGAAGACGATGGCAAATAAAATGAACTCATCCTGCAAATCTACAGAATCCATTTAATGAGCAAATTCTCCTGCCACAACATCCAATTAAGGCGTCTCATTAGTGGGTCTGACAGAGCTGCCACTGTTTCACATCCCAGGAGTCTGAAAACGAACATGGCACTGATGACTAGAATTCTACACAGAGCTCAGTTCATCAAAGCAATGTGATTTACTGATCTCTACTACATTAAGGTCAAACAAAAGAGTAAAAATAATAATGTAGTTTTAGCAATCCCACAAATTATCTCTATAGAGGCCCATATACTACCAGTGGTTTCAATATAACAGAAACTGGTTTAGAGCAACACAATGCATTAGGGTAACATAAATGGTAAAATACATATGTACTGACTGGTGCATTAAAGGCTGGTCAATGTAGTCAATATGTTTGTAAGTACTGAGTGTTAATATGTCAGCACAATATGAGCTCAGTCTAAAGTGGCTGTGAGTTTGTTGACCTACCTGATAAACTGTGTGTGATTTACACTGGCCTTGATCAACAAGGTAGAGCTCCTCAACACATCTGCGTATGTTTTTTTGTGGGAACCAAACACGTGCTGTATGATCATACTGTACATACATGTCAGCAAATTAATTTAGCTGGAAGTAAAAAAATCAAAACAAAAGAAAAATAAAACCCTCAGTAATACTTTACCAGTTCATTCTCAATTCTCACCAAGAGACGGGGAGATCCATTTAACTGTGCAACTCCACTAGGATAAATGGCCGTACGACTCATTTCAGGCAATAATAATAATAATAATAATATTTTTATGCTGTTAGCAAGGCAGCTAGGTGTAAGATGTGAAGGGAACTTCATCACTCTCTATAACTTGTGCATGCCCTAAGTTTTAGCTATACACACCAGATGCACACTATGGTTTGTGGTTGGGCCGTTACTTTAGCCTATATTTTAACTGATTGTTGCTGTAGCACATGCAGAACGTAACCACAGCTTTGACTGTGTTTTCTGCCTTTCAGTAAATGATCAAAAGAAACCCTGTGAATGCAATTGTTTTGTATTTACTCACTGTAAAGAAGTGACAAATGCCTTCTAACTCACCAACTAAAATGTGGAAATATACTTTGTGCATATAACATTTCTTGTTTATTTATTTATTATTTATTTATTTTATGTATATTTTTAGCATATGGTCAGACCAAAATTTGCAACGTTTTGAAAACGTCTTTGTCGAAGAAAGTGCGCTTGTATTAAATGTTTAGAAAACAGCTGCTAGGTTTGTTTACGAACTTATTGTACACGTGTTTTTTTTTTTGTTTGTTTGTTTTTTTGTGTTTGTTTCTTTTTTAATCTTGTGGTTCTTGTCGGTTTCATTTACAACTTTCAAAGACAACAAAATCCTTCGAATCTTTAGTGTCGCTCTGCTGGTTCACATCTTTGTAAAAGTTTTATTTCACTAATTTTCAGTTTGCCACCTGGTTCGTGGCTGAACACCTTATTATTTTGAAAATGTCTAAATAAATCTGCAGCTTCGAATCCAAACATCTCTGTAATCCGAGCTTTAAAGTGAAACCACTTGAGAGTAGTAAAACAGCGTGTTCTCTACTGGCTTTTGTTTAAAAAATATATATATACTAGGTAGAGCACATAAACACAACTCAACAACACACAAAATGCCTCATGAGGCACAATCCTGTCGTCATTGCTCCCAGCACCGCGTGATTAAACACAATCGAAAACCGCTGCGTGATCACTTCGCTATGGAATTGTCCCGATGAAGAAAAGCGTAGACGGATGTTTGAATAGCGTTAGCATGCTGTGCAGGAACCACCGCTGACGTTCAACTCAGCGTCTTAATAACAATCAGCTACATTAACGCAGTCGTTAGTGGAACGACTGGTCTGTTTACTGTGAAAAAGACACGGGAGAACACGAATGTTCTGATCTTAGGTAAATATGTTTGTCTGTCGGAATACGGATGCTCTAAATACAGCAGAGAGAGATACAGCGGGGCAGGAGAGGAGTTTAGGTGATGAAATCAGAATGCATGGGTTTTTTGGAGAGATTTACATTTAAGCGTCTCTGTTTTGCAACAACCGCCTTTGCTTTGTTGATATTGTGCAGAAAAAGCAGCCACTACAAGAGAACCCGACCCATATGCAACCCATAAACATCGAACGCGTAAAACCAGTGGGAGCCGATGATGCATTGATCATATGATTTAAAATGTGGGATTTAAAATTCATTTTTACCTGTGGCAAGTTCCCGGCGATGACTTTAAGTGAACTCTTTTACACAAAAAAGCGCTGCCTCTTAGAAATAATCTCTAGTGTCTCTCAGACCCAGCTTCCAAAATCCTCAGCGTCAGTCCACTCCGACAATCTGACCATGGCTAAAAGCAGACGTGTCCATCATCCTCCAAGACCCGCCCAATACAGTGAATAACATGTATGCGGCGTCTCCTATTGGCCCGTGAAGATTACTGTATGAAATACTGAGCTGTGATAAGTCAACGATGCCATCCATTCACAATGGAGGGGCGGACTATGTATTAATGGCAGTGCAGCAAAATGTCTCCGTCTACCGGCTAAATATGATTATTACAGAATAAAGATGTTTCTTTCCGCCCACATCAGGCTGTACAGATGTTTTGTGTCTTGTAGATATCGAGTGAAATATTATGATCTAAATCGTATCTCCATAGTAAGTTCTTATCTGGAGTGGACATTAGAAATCCGCTATTTCAAGTTCAGACCGATGAGCTCCGAACTGATAGAGAGATGGAGCAGTGACCCCGTGTGACTATGCTGTACGAATTGTATAAAATTATATGTTATAATAAACTTGGCCTAGTGCCGTGTATAACCATGCTCGTTGTTTTGTGAACAAAACGAATCTATTTAAACAACGCGCATTGCATTGCAATAAATACATTAAGAATTGCAGGGATACAATATATGATAGATACAATTTATAGTTATATAATAGAATGCACTCTTTGCCTAGGAATATTGGTCATCGTTTGACACACACGCACACACACACCTCTTAAATATAAAACCACACCCAGATTACAGAAGCTAAAGTAATTGGCTTACAGTGTGAAGCAGCATGGAGATTTGACATGTACAAAGGGGGAGGAGTAAACAGCCACACTGCAGTGACATAAAGGTGTCACAGAAACTTCCAAATACAGTTTGTGGAAGTCAGTTAAAGTACAAAGCACTACCAACTGTATGTTGTGAAAGACTACTGTTGATAATTGACACATTTTGTAACTTGAATGACAATAAATGAACTATCAAGACTCACCAACAGTCGGTGCATCAGGGATCCAGCAGAGCACAAGTTCCAGCAGGAAGAGAAAGAGTCGACAAACGAAAACAGAAGTACATGTAAATTAGAAGAATTATTTGTTAAATTCTCAGAACCAAGTTTCTCCGCTTTATTTAACCTGTACGATTTATGACACGGACATAAAGAGCAACATTGCCTACACCCAGGCAGTGACCGAGTCGATCAATGTCTCCCCATCAGAGAATAAACCCTGGTGATACACAGGCCGCACCAATGACTACAGTAAAGTAACTAACTTTATCAATTCTTAAAAAAAGGAACTAAAAACTAACCAGAGGCTTTTTTTATTATTATTATTCTGCTGATCAGTGAATGAGACACAGGTCACTTCTATTCTTTTCTAACTCCTGTTATTTCAACAGTAACAAAAACACACCAAAACCCCTCTAGGGTGAGAGGGCAAACATCCTTGTGTCAATCTACTTTGCTCCATATCTACATATTGGCAGGAAGAATGAAGACCAACCTACATCAGCAAATTTAATCATACAAATAAAAAAGAGCTAACTGGATTAGAGCCACTTCTCTCTGCGCCCACAGGCTTTCACTGTTCTGGCTCAACACAGCCTAAATTCAATTGTCATCAAGTGAAGAGGATGCACACGAAGGGACTTGACCTTTTGAAACTAAACTGTGGAACATCACCAGCACAACAGCACAAGACAACATGTAACAAGCATTGCTGCTTCACTATTTCACCAACACAGTTCGTCACAACAATGTACCTGATAATCAGGGTAATGACAGTAATGACAGGGTATTGACAGAATGTAGAGTCTGTGTTCATCAGCAGCATCTCCCTTCTCACCTTCAACAAGCAGCCCAGAGGTTGACTTTGCATTCTGCCTCTTTGCAGACCGTCCAAAACAATGTGTCAAGCAGTAAATGAAGACCAAGAGGCTCTGCTCCTGTCAATGAACTAACAGTAATAACGGCTCTTAGAAACAGTGTCCGTCAGGCAGAGAGAGCTGCAGCGGTGTGTGTTCCCATGTAGGCACGAGATCAAGCCAGTACAGATTCTCTGGGGGATTAACAGTGAGTCCTTCTGAGGGGAATTACTCTGACATAACCATCTGGACACCAAATATGTGCCTGAGGTCAGTGTTGCCCAGTGAAGTCACTGCAATGCTTAAACATAAGTAAAAAAATAGTAATTAAAAACACTAATTTCAATGCAAGATTAACATTAAAATGCATTTTGCTCCTGAGCATATTTAAAAACCTTTAATTTAAAAAATCCAATATTTACCTTAACCCTTAGGCGTAGATACAGTACTGGGTTATTGAAATGTCCTTTCAATTCTATTTCTATTTGGTTACTTGCTAAATCACTCCATATTCATTTTTGGGGTTTTTTTTTCAAATATATTTTGTGTCAAATTTGATCTAGATTATACATAGAATAATTTGTGTGATATACAAAAGGCATTGGAATGTAAAATACAGAATGATTATTGCTGTGACCTAAAAAACAGATTTTTATAGAAGAGAGATTATGTTATATGGCTAACTTGAATGTCTTTGTTGTTCAGTGAGATGCTGAGCAGTGGCTCCATATTTATTAAACATGTACATTTGGGACTCGGTCACTGTTAGACACCTGAGGTGTGAACAGTGGTCTCTGTATTTGGCCCTGTGATGGATGGAGTCACCTGTACATAAAAAATGGAATACTTGCAGGAGGTATATAGCATCCAGTCATACATAAACAGAATATATTTTGACATTGTTACATAATGATTTCATGTGAATTATCACAGTCTTTGTCTGCTGCCCACAAAAGCCTCCACAAACTGTACAATAAAGGCTGTCTTTCTGGTTCCTTTTATATTACAGTTACATTTACATTTTCTGGACAATCAAGTTTATAGACAATAATCAATATTGAAACAATATTCTTACCAATGTATACTTAGACGTTTGTGTGGGGGAAAAATGACATTGTAACATATGCAAAACAACCTTATTTCAACAAAGGATATGACATTATTTAACAATGAATAATGAATTTGGTAGTTATCTAAGTTTTTTTTTTTTTTTGCATTTCAATAAAGATAGCACAAAGTGCATGTCGTCTTCTGTGTACAAACAGTAGATAAAAAATGGGCAAATGAACACACCCATTCTTTGAGACATGCCTAAGCTTTTCAGCACAGTGATAATAACATTACAAGATGACACAACACTGACTAACAACAAGCACATTAAGATAAAATTTACCCGAGAGGCAGTTGCTGGAAAATCTGCTTCAGCGAGCTGGCTGCTTCCTGGTACATTTTTGTCAAAAGAAATATCAAGACAAATGACAGTTAGGAATTTCCCGTGTTTTCGTCTGCATGTTTTATATGAGGTCACCAAACTGCTCTCCAACTTCCTCCCTACCCTAGTGTTAATGGTGTAACTCTACACTCCAGCATCAGGTGTCAAATAAGGAAGAATGAGGAAGAGAGAGAACTTATTAACCTGAAGGAGAAAACGTACAAAGACAGACCGAGGACACAAGACACTGTGAGAAGAGCTTGGCGACGAGTCACCTGGCAGTAGTGGTAAAACAATGAAACGTTGTTAGTGCGGGAAATGGGGGTGCATTTGATTTAGAGTTTCATCAGCTCTCAGCTCTCAACTCTCACTATAATAATAATAATAATAATAATAATAATACTTATTATTATTATTGACATGTGTGTTCATTGGAACTATTTGTATAGAAGAAATGTAGATTTACAAGAATTACATTAGAATTACATGGCAATAACTTCATTATTAATTAATGTATTATTGCATCCAATATGAATTTAAATTTTTTAATTAATTAATTATTTTTTAACCAACCCTCTTTATCATCCAATGTCGAAAGTTTGTCGAAAACACGAGTAGACGTTTTGAGAGCCACTAGAGGGCAGCGGCTTCTCTTTGCATCACCAGAACTGTCCTTTGACCCACAGAAAGACTTAGGAGTCAGTGTTGCTGAATAAATTATTTGCTACAGTGAAAACATGCCAGCACAAAAAACTACTAGAACTAATGTCTTTGCTACATTCCTATATTATTTTTCTGGTGACAGGGTAATTACCAGGTTATTTCCATCAAGGGTTCTGTGGGGTTTTTATACAATCAAAAAAAAAAATCAGAATTGACTATTGTTATTAAAAGAGAAAGACAGCATACCACATTGAAGAATTAATGTCAGGAAACATTTAGCAATGCAGTAACTGCTCCAGCCTGATAAATGAATATTACAAGTAAAAAACATCTCTGTTCATTTCCATTAAAATACTTGTTTGACCTCTGCCGTCTCCTCATAAGTGGACTTCCAAGAAATGTTGTCTCTGCTGCTGCAAAGCCTGGTCATCTTTTTAATGCCTTCCCTCTGCTGTTTATTAAGTGACATTCTTTTGGTAGTGAAGTCCTTAGGATAAAAAAAAGTTTCAGGCCCACAGCTGCTACTGCTGTATTTTTGGCAACTACTGTAGTACTACAAGCTCTTACAAACCTAAACACTGGAATCATCACCTGAGTATTCATTTTGAAATTCTTCCTTTATCTCAGTTGGCTGAGATAATTGTCTTAAATTCCAAATATATAACATTTTTACTGACTCACCAATCAGTATTATCAATATGTTTAATAGAGGTACATATATATTATAGGTACTATAATTTTGTTAATAATATGTATATATATATATATATATATATATATATATAATTAATTATTTATACTCTATACGCCAAAAGAAAAGATTAATTGATTTTAAATAACATCTTGAAACTCTTTCTTCTGTGTTATGCAGGTGTTTTTCAACTTATTGGTAGAGTAAAACATTATAGATTTTCCAGAAAGGAAACACATTTCTCTTAAACTTTATTTGAACCTTCCTGCTGCGCATGCATCTGCAGTTGTGTCTGTTTGATGACTATTTATAAAAACACGTGTTTATATGTTCGTGTAAAATAGAGGTTTAGAGAATTAGTTTTCTTTTTTGCACATCATTTATTTTGCTTTTCTAAACTCAATTCAACCCATACGTTACTGGGAGAGAGAGGGGGAGAGAGAGAGAGAGAGAGAGAGAGAGAGAGAGAGACTCCGCTCGCTTCCGGCTTCAGCCGTTTTTACTACAAGCAGAGAAGCGCTGCACAGAAGTTGAGCGACACGCGTGACAAGAGAAACCTCCCGTGAAAGTATTTCACCTGGAGTCAAACAGACAGACTGTGCGGACGACTTTGAATTTTTTTCAAACAGAGAGCTCGTGAACACAGCACAGAAAAGACGTAGACGCGGGGAGGCTTCTCGTTGTGGAGAGAGGTAGAAAAAAAGAGACATTTTGAATCTTCTGTGGAGGTGGAGGAGTTTTTCAGTCTTTTGTTTTGGTAGAAAAACGTGAAGGAGCCCAGTGGGCCGGTTGCTGCACCGAAGACCAAGTTTGTTTTTCGTGCAAGAAGGCAGAACACGTGTGCAAAGTTTTTTTTTGCGTCAAAGACAGCGAAGAGAAGGAGAAAAGAAGGGAGAATCATCCAGCTGGTATCAGACAGTCACATCACTGGCAGCAATCAAGTGTCCTGCAGCAACAGCCTCGCAGGACGGGGACGCTGCAGAGGTAAGTCCTCCCAGTCTTCTATGTCATTTACATCCTTCCCAAGTTTAGAAGTTTACTTCTGCACTTGCACAAGTATTGCAAAGATTTTTCAATTTTCTTGCAAGAAGCTTCCTCCGGTCTTTCTGCAGCTCAAACGGAAGCAGTATCTGGAAAAGTCTTTATAAACATCTTAAAGAAACTCCAGTGTTTCCAGTCCCAGAAATCTGACCACAGTATTATGTGTTTTTGTGTGTTTTTTTCTTTACATATGTGTTGAGGCACAGCACCACACCAGGTGTAGCTTTAAACCCCACTACCTGATATGATAGAAATTGCTGCATGTGTGGGAATGTAAACATCAGCAGGTGAAAGTTTACATAGAAACAATTTCCAGTAAGAAAGTGAAAAAAGTTTTCATGTTAAAACACCCTGAAAGTCAAATACTGAGTTTTAAATATTCCCTTCAGGGTTTAGCAAATATTTTGCACTTTACACTTTGCACTTCTTTGTCCAGAGGCAAAGTAACTATTATTCATGTCAACAACTGGCCTGGCTGTGAAACTTAAACATGAAGAACAGGTCGTTATAATATGACATCACACGAATGCTTTAATATTTTTCTTTAGTCATCAAGTAGTGGTATTTTGTTTTTATTTTTAATATAAATAATTTCAGTCAGCCTGGAGGAAAACACACATAAAACTCTTTCTGTGACAGATTACATAAATGAAAGTTGCATTCATTCAATATTTTGAAATAGCTATAGATGGTATTACTTTGTTTTGATTTGTATGTTGTTTTGAGGGACAAAAATAACTCTAATTATTCTAGGGATGTAATAATTGTATTCTTATTCATTAAACACATCATATTAGTGTGGTCAGTTTAATCACACAGTCCCTGTGGATTAATCAGGACTTCCCCAGCTAAATCAAGATAAATCAACATTTCTGAATATGACAAAGACGTTCTTCCCTGATGGCCAAGCTTATAAACATCTTCTAAAAAAAACCTAAATATGTTTCATTAGACTGACCTAGACTTCTCTCCACATGAAGTTACTTCTTAACCAGAAAACTTCCACTGTTTTGTTTTTCCTGTTACTGTAGTCTGCAGTCATTCCTCTCTGTCTGTGGCAGCTCTACATGTTTTTCATATTCCACATACATGTTTGTTTGTTTGTTCTGTTGACAATAAAGTCATATATGATGAGAGGTCGTGCACATTGCACATCCACATAAAAAGGGTTCTAACTCGTGAACTCACTTTAAACGTAATCTTTTTGTTTTTCCCGTGACTTGTTTGTTGTTTTCGTGTCTTCTTGTGAAGATAAGCTGACAGTCCGTCTGTCCCACCCAATGTGACATTAGACTGGGTTAAAACAAATAACACTAAAGATCATTTACTCCTACTGTTTGTGCATACATGACCAACCCAGAATGCTTCACAGTGACTGTAAAGATCAACCTGACCCAGTATCTTAGCTTCATTTGATTTTGGCTGGTGTCGATACCATTAAAACGACTGGAATGTCAACAGAGTTTTCAAGGACGATGGAGCATCATGGGAAAGTTTTACCTCAGAAGAAGAAGGAACTGTACATGCAAAGTACAGGGTTCTAAAGTTGCTGTGTTGAATACCATGAATACATTTACTGCTCCTGTTTTTGAGCTTTGTCTTAATAATAAATAATCACTGTTTCACGTGGGCCAGTTATAGAAACCTGAAATGTAAAGTTAGCCACCACTCTAAAACCTAGGATAAAACTGGTATTAACAACACTTGTTCAAACAATCAAGTTCTAATTGGGTAACTAGAACTTTAGGCAACAGCATAGTCCATTAGTCCACGGCTCACAGAGGAAACCCACTACTTCTGCATCAAAGATTCAAAAAGACAAGTGAACCCAAATAAGTGCACACTTCTCACCATTTCCCCATGTCCTTTCCTCTTCGCTGCATATCACAGCTCCCTCTCTAAGTCCCGTCCTGCTCTCCCATCTTCTCCCTCCTCTCCGTCTCTCACCCCCTGTGGACATGTTTTTTTCCTTGTGTCTTTGCTGGTCCCTGTGTCTAATGTGTGCAACTGAGTGTTTACTTAGTGTGAGAAAAACAGCATCGGTAGTTATTAAGCCACTTGAGACAAAAGCCTTTCCTGTCTCTCTCTGAGTGCGTCACTACCTCCAACGTGAGAATCCCATGTTTACGCTGCAGTTCATGAATTAATGCCTTCACATAATTTCCCCAGTTCGGGATCATTATAGTTCAACCTTAACCTTAGCCTTAACCTTAATGGGACATACAGTATATGGACAATGATGAGAAACACATGTTACATGACGTGTGTGGTTACATTTCAGAGAACCTGGAGTTCTGCAGTCTAAACAAAATTTCAAAACATCTTGTTTTCCAGCAGTGCTTGAGTTTATTTTTGTCTGGTCTGCCTGCACAAATGACTCATAGTGTTAAAAAAAAGAGATATGAGAATTAGGTGAACTGTAGTTTGTAACACTTGTTTAAAAAAGTTGATGATTTAGATGCCAAGTATTTAAATATTTTGACTGAAGTTCACTAAAGAGCTTCACGTATGACCTGTATTTGAATAATGCTCAGTGACAAAAAGGCTCAGGACCGGCAGCAATCCCAGGTCTCACAGGTGATACAAAGAGCAGTCGTCTTTGATGACTGGGAAACGTACATATAGAATACACCATGTATTCTGTCTTGTGTTATGTACTGTCTCAATTCAGACACTACATCACATTTCTTCCAGGGATGGAAGTCGTTACACTTTAAGGATTTACCAATATCACCTGATAATCAAATGTCACAGACGTTTATTCAAAAGTTCATATTTTATTGTCCCATGACCCATGGTTTTTCAAATATTTTTGTACCCTCTAAATTAAATGAAACAATCATTTGATTATGCCTTGCTTTACGTACATGAGGGTGACATGAGGGTCACATGGTACTTTGTAATAAAATGTCTGCTGTCCTACAGCTTTAATATAACGCACATGCCCTGAAACAGTCAATGATAACCAGTCAAGCGTTTGTTTTTTGCTTTGTGTAACACAGTCTACCGCTACTGAAACAAAGAACAGGAATCATGTATGTTGAACTGAGCATCAGCATCTGCTTAGAACTCACTATTTGACAGGACTCTAAATCATTTCTGGTCCAATGCACAGAAGTGCTGGATGTGTTTGGCTTAAATGACAGGTTGTTGGAACCAAAAAGCTACTGCAGGAAAGTGGTTGAAATCCACATTTTCCAATTCTCTCTGACTGCCTAATTTTTCTCTGTCAGTTCTATTGCTGACAAAGCAGTAAATACAACTACTTGTCAGTATAATGAGAAAAAATCTCTTATAGGAAATGTGTTTTTTCAACATGAGAAGGAGAAGTGGACACCTGACTATAGCTGCTTCTTAGAGCTCAGGAAGTTCAAATGTTTGAATATTGCCATCGTTACATAGGTGCTGTTTCAGAATCCTTAAAATTGGGAACTGGACAATCTATTGCTTTAAAACAGATACAAAACATTAAGTACGTTTAAGTCTAAGCAGTGGAAGCCCAGTTCAATTGTGACGACAGTTGTTTGCAAATACAGAGAAGGTCAGACATTCTCTTGTAAGTTTGTAAAGAGAACTGGACTTCTTCTTTGATCTGGATGAATGAGAATCTTCACAGACTTGTAAGTTCTTTTTTAAAATTTAAATTAAAAATGTGATTTTTTTTTTCATATTTGACACAATTAGCAAGGGTCAGAGGGTAATGTTAATAGGACACTTGTTGGACTGTAGGTGTTTGCCAGTACAGCCTGACTGTAATTAAACAAACCAATGGGGGCTAACTATCAAGCCATGCTGTTATATATTATATGATGTGCTCAACATTTCATAAACAGGATTTTGCACCATGAACCAGTTCCTTATGAGAAACCACTGTACATGTTTCAGGTTTTATGAATGAGTGTCTGTGCAGTAAAGGTAGTTACATACCTCTGCCCCACAGACACACACCAGTCCAGGCTGGCATTAAAACCTTATATTTGGGGGTACTAAAGGACCTTTATTCAATAAAAATGTCCAATAGGACACAGCAGAAGTTTCTTTCTTTTAATCAAAATGTAAAGCCTCCATACATTACACTGACAATTGTGCAAACACTAGGTTTACTATGGTTTTAACTATACACAGTGATGACTTATAGGGATGTGGTATAGTACTTTTAAGGAAAGTGAACTACTTGTCATAGTGACACAGCACAACACTGCACACAACGAAACGTGACCTCTGCTTTTAACCTATCACCAAAGTGAACAGTGGGCAGCTTCAAGTGCCCGGGGACGGTGCCATGCTCAGAGCAGCTAGTGGACTCGAACCTGAAGCCTTCCTTAACCACTAAGCCACCACTGCCCCTCTCCTTTTATTGATATTTTGAGAGGCACTAAAAGTCTATCTGTGCTGCTTTCAAACTGTGAGGTGAAGGAGTATAACTCCTCACTAATTTTATTCTCCTGTATGTTCTTTGTTTTTCCTACTTACAATTCTTTGTCATCACATCCTCAAGTGCATTATTAAAACAGCAACATTTCAGGAAAAATGTATCTCATTTGATGGATTCCACTGCTGATCAGTGGTCTCTTCTTTATCTGACTTCTTCTTTTTGTGTGTTTACTCCTGCTGCGATTACCCCCGCCCCCATGTTATTGTCGCCAGCCTTTCTCTGTTTTCTTTCCTTTTTCCATGAGCTTTTCTCCTTCGTTTCATCCAGGAAAAAACGTCACCTTGAAATTATTATTTTAGGACTGAAGTAAGTTTTAAACAAACAGGATTTAGGAAACGGATATGTTGGCATATGCTATTTAAGGAAGAGCAAGAAAGGGTTTGTAGAGTAAAGTAAATAGTTTTAAGGTCCCTGCGGTGTAGAATTACCAGTTAAATAGTTGGATGGGAAGTAAGATGGTTAAGACCCATAGTAGTAAACACTGTTTCTTTTTTTTTGTTTTAAAAAGTGTAAAAAAAAATCTAAAAAAGCATCGTACTAATGCGAGCATAGGCAGAGAAGAATTAACTAATTAATTAGTCATCATACTGATTTCTAATAATATTCCTTTCCCTTTCTAACATTTACTATTTCATGACCTGCTCATACCTAAATAAGCGACCTTTTCGTTCATATATTTTCAGGTATCTTTTCCCAGTGTCCAGAGCAGCGTGGACTTTTGACCAAATGCAGATGAAACATTGAATCCTGATCTCCACACCTCCCTGCAGCTTCATGGGAGATTGTCAGATGTGTACCTGTCACTCAAAGCCCCTGGCCTGGCTGCGGGGATGGCTGCCTCTGCCCTGAAACTTAGCAGCCTGGTAGTCATGAACAGGTAAACAGAGTGTAGTGTGTTTCATTAGAAGATAGTTTGATCCCTAGTCCACGAGTAGATGGGGTCAAATAAAACTTACAATACAAATGAATGTCTAAAAAGATCAACCTCTCCTGCCCTCTTTCTTGTCTTCACAGCAGTAATCAGTGTCACACTCAGTCAGGTTCTGCTGGCAGTACCTCCAGAACAAGAACCAGTCCGGTCGCTAGACCTGTACTGCCAGTTCCAGACAGGAGCACCTACTGCCAGTTTCTGGGTGGAGGTCTTTACAGTCCAACTAGCCCTAAGGTATCTTGATTTTGATTAAAGCCCTAGTTTTTAAATCCGTCATTAAAGAGCTAAATAGAAAAGCTACTGATGATACTGTTAGTAAGCTGTCTTTATTACTTCTGGTTGAAGCTAAATGTTAAATGTCACAAGTAAACCGATTAATTGTATGTTATTATTAAAATTATAATTAATAATATTTTGTGTCCATCTGCTAGGCGAGCCCGACCAGCACTACTCAAACCTTTGAGTTCCCCTCTTCATCCTCACATTGCCCAGGTCCTAATCCCCGTGCCCGCTCTCCTTCACCGAGAAGTCCAGAACTACTAGGAGTGAATGTGGGTCAGAGGGTCAGACGCCTAAGTTCATCCAGTGGGGAAGATAGACGGGAGGGAGACGGCCAGGAGCAAAGAGAAGGAGAAGCAGGGGAGGTGTGGAGGCGAGAAGAGAGAAGACGCCAGGCACAGCAGCTACAGATTCACAGGGAGCTGCAAAACGTTGAGGTTGGTCGTCCCGCTGTCAATTCACAACTTTATTTGTCAAATATGAACAAATGTTTACAAGTGATGCCTTCGATCTGAAGATAAGTTTAATAGTTCTGAATGAAAATGTCATATAAATTACATTCTAACATTTATCTGCATTGTCTGACACATATTGTCTGTCAATTACAGTGGTTCTTTGTTTAAATAAGCAAATAATTACAATCTACCATTATGTAATGTAGAAAGATTCAGGTAGTCAGGAGAATTCTCTGTGAGAAATATATTAAAGTTGACATATTCTACATTAACATTGGCTTATTATATAGTTTGTCTGCATACGTAGTTTTTTTTGTCTGTCTTTGTGATGAATAAAGGCTTTGTGCATTAATTAATTACGACTCGTTGTTTAGGAAGAGTTTTCCAATTTTTTGTTCATCTATGTACACTATTACTTGTGAGCCATGGAAAAATGCCTAAACTGGAGCTGTGTTCAAACTTTATTCCTTGTATGTTTTTCAGGTCAGAGGAAAAGTTGGCATTTTTGAAGCTCACATTTCCGGGAACCGTGCCCAGGTGTTTAAAAGTGAGCTTCAGCGCAGCCCTCGATCTCCTAGAAGATCAACAAACCAAACCTCCTCACATCCCAGCCAAGGGAACACGGCTCTTACGTGCTCAATGACCCAACCACAGGAGAGTCGAGTTACTTCCGTTGTGCAAAATGGTGGTGAAGGGGGAGAAACCATGGCAGTGGAAAGGAGGAATGGAGGACCAAATTACAGCGGCGCTCTTGTAATGAACTCAGACTGCCTTGCAGAAACGATGATGCAAAAGCCATGTTTAGATAAGGTGTTCGCAGTTCCGAGTTACCCTGAGGCATTAGAAATAAATGAAAAAAAGGTGACAGAAGAGAGAGACAACAAACAGATATTCCTGGAAGAGGAGAAGAGTGTCCATCAGAGCCCAGAGACGCTAACGACAGAGGACAACAAGTCAGACAACGATGCAGAAATCCAATCAACATGTCAGGCACAGAACAGTGAAAACTCCCAATGTTTGGTAGACACAACCAGTGAGATCTCCAACCACCATTTCTCCATCTTCCCCTCCAACTCTCCCTGCATCCCGTCAGTAATAATAACTGATCATGGCCAACCTCAAACTTCTGACGGTCCTGGCTCAGAGCAGGAACCGTACTGCACCAGTCCTGGATCCAGCCCTGGTCCTGGGCTTACCTCATCTTTACCTTCTCTTCGAAAACTTTCCTCTTCCTCTGCCTCCTCGGCGGGTTTCTCCTCATCTTGGGAAGAGTCGGAGGAGGACATTTCCAGTGACACGGAGAGAGGGGAGGAGCTCCTTAAACCGGCACTCCTCAGTTCTCAACAGAGAGCAGTAAGTTGCGGCCAGGTTGTCGTGTCTACGTTGGCCACACATATATATTTGTATAAAACAGAAAGCACAGAAATTAAGGAATGAAGTTACAGTTGGAAATAATGATTTCAATTGACATTTGTTTGCACGTGTTTGGTTCTGCGTATTCGTGCCTGTCTGTTCAAATGTGCCTGTGCTTGTCACTGGCACATCCTGGCACATGTTGCTGTTCTGCTCTTGTGTTTAATTGGCTGGAGCTCGCTCCTTGAGTAATGGTTGACATTCAGAGAAACAAAGCCAGCTCTGTGCCCCAACCTGTGTGTGTGTTTGTGTGTGCAAGTGTGGGTTAGCGAGGGTGTGTGCTGGAGAGGTTGTATGTGATTAAATTAAAAAAAAAAGGAAAAGCAAGTAAATTTTGTTCCTCACACACAGTTGGCCTTCGCTTGTGTGGATGCAGTTCAAAGAGTCAGGTTGTTGTTGTGTGTGTGTGTGTGTGTGTGTGTAGGTGGATTTGTTTGTATTTGTAGCCAGCTTAAGTTCATGAGGCTGTCCTACTTCTGCTTTGAACCATGATAACAAGCAGAATTGCATCTTCCTACCCCCACCCTAAACCAAGGTGGTGGCTCTCCAGGGTAATACAGATTACAAACAATTTGTTTAAGTGACTCTGGCCGTTTGATTTGAATACTGTTTGTATTGCGTTTGCATATTTCCATGATTATGTTTTTGCTCTTTTGAAGTGTCATAGCTGCCTGTGGAGGGTGTAGATTCTTAAAAGAGATAATCTTTCTTGTCTGCAACCTGTCGTAGTCAGCCTTGATCTGTACGGTTACGTAAACCTAAGATGTGTTCAAGAGTCGAACATGCAGAAACTCATGTGACATGCTTGCTTGTGTGGGAGGTATGTAGGAGCAATGAGAAGGCAAGAGAGGAGAGAAGTAATATTGAGAGTGGGAGACGAACAGAGTGAGTCTGACAGTGAGAGCAGTGGAACATTTAGCAGCACTGAAGCAGTATTTTCTTCACTTGACGGGGCTAAAGAAATGTGGTCCTCGAAATGAATGAGTTTTGAAATATCAAACACTTAAAAACATTTAAAATTACGGATGATTCTGATCCTTCACTTGGTGGCTGTCAGCACTGTGACAAGCATGTCTAGAGGTGATCAACTCTAGACAAGGCTGTGATTGGACAGCTGTCCTTTGCTTTTAGACTTTATGTAGGCTTTTACTGATTACAAATGCAGGAAAAAATTGTTATTTCTTGCCTTCTATGGCTTCATTTGTTGAAATAATTCAATGACAAGTAAAAAACTATGGTAGTCAAGTGTTATTAGTAGGGCCTGTTGTATAAATAGACACAATGAGACTGTATTTGGTTTGTACTGTACTGTAAGTGTTTTGACAGTTGGGCATCTCTCCAAGGTTAAAACGCACAAAGTTGCCATTTATGTTTTTCTTGTTCTACTTCATTTGCAGCTAAAGGACACCTGCAAAGACCACAGCTGTGTTTTTTCTCTATCTTCTCGTTCTGAGAATATCACTTGACTTCAGTTGATTGAACTGCGAGCAGAGTGATTTGTGGGTGAGGTGTCACTGGCTGTAGTTTCCAAAACTGTAGTCACACACTGAAATTCCGTAAATGCAGTCAACTCCAGCACTAGTGAAAATTGACAACCACTACATTCTCTTTTTTTTTCTCTTACATAAAAACCACACATCTATTTTAAAAGCATTTCACTTTCACAAACTTTTATTTTCATTCACTTGCTATACAGCTAGCACACAGTAGCTACGTCTTGCTCCTCATCCAGACCTCCCTCCACCTGGATTGTCCTGATACTTACAAATACAAAAAAGAGAAGGTGTGCTGCATCACTTCCTAAAAGGAGGCATCCATTAAATAAACAATTAAATTCTTATATAAACACTTATATAAACAAATACGTCCATTGGAATGAGGACCACACCCAAAGGCACACAGACACACATGTACTGACACACCCTCTGTACACGGCACAGCAATACTTTTGATTGTCACAGAACAACAGACAGTAGTGTTCCACAGAAGAACCACAGTCACTCAATACCCCTCACACAAAAAACTGATTTTGAAACAAAAACCTGTGGCTGATTGACTCACATCCCTTTTTTAAGGATTGGACCTTTTCAGGCTTCAGCCTAAACTGCAAGTGTGAGTTCATCGCCAATAAAAGGGTGTTTGTGTTAGACAAAAATTCACAACATTGACCCAAATGGGTCAGCACAACTCATGAGCATTCACACACACACACACACCACACACACACACACACTGTTTGTACTGCAGTGGAAAATCTTCACTGCCACAGCGGCTAGTTGCATAGCAACCCTGTGACGTAAGAACGAGTTTCCCTCTCACAGCTGTGTGTATATGTGTGTGCAAATGTGCGTATGTGATCGTCGAGAAACTCTAAGTTTATAGGTTAGTGTCTAATTTCCTTTGTGGTGATGCGGGAGGGGAAACACCGGTCAGTTCTTAATTTGGTGGCTCTCAAGTGTGTGAATTCCATTTGCAGTAAACAACTAACTGACTGGTTACTTTTATAATTAATAAAAAAAGTAAATAAATAAATGTAATGGGAAATATATTTATAAATCTACATTAATTTGGTTGATAAAGTTTATAGTTCTGAATCAAACCACTTTTCCTCCCACATTTTGATATTAAAGCAAATGAAGCGTTTACACTGTTTGTCTCCCACAGTAAGAGACAAAGGTGGGAGTACAAGTCTGTGTGGATGCTGCAAGGCAACAACTGAGCTTTGAATGTGCAGAAGCTCAGCAGAGTGGTTTGCTGCAAAAGATGGGGCTGATGTATGAGACGTTAAACCTGGTGATCAAAGGAGAAATCTTGCTCAGCATAAAGCAATACGCTTTGGAAGACGTTTCAAAAAATAAAGGGAGATCATGCATTTGTACAGAAATGTATATGCAGTGATCACCATCAGTATTACTGTCTAGTTACATCACAGTCACATCGTTGTAGGCAGATGCAATTACAGGCTGCGTTAAATCCTTGACTGTCTTCTTATTTTTACATTTCTCTCTTCTCTTCATTAATGTGTTCTGTAACATTTAAATGTTATAATATAATGTCATAACATAACAATACATAAACTACTGTTGAAGTTGCATCTTAAACTATAAAACTTAAACTTAAACTTAATCTTCACGCCTTTAGAATTTTGCAACTCTAATTTTCCACTGGTCAGTCTTGGTGGCTATGACATTTTTTATGTCCCCTCTGCACGTGCTGCATGGTATCACCCTCCCTAACAGTAATTTTGTGTGTGTGTGTGTGTGTGTGTGTTTGTGTGTGACTCCAAACTTTGCAGACTCAGACAGCTGCAGTATTTGTATCTGCATGGTGACCTTGTGGTGAGCGATATCAGGCTTGTTGTTTCCTCAGTGCTCCTCTGTTGAAAACATCAGCATGCATCAGTGTTTCCCCTGCCTTTTCACATCACACATTTGTAACCCAGAGTTACCCTTTACCCAACTTTTGTTTTTCTTCTCTCTCTCTCTCTCTCTTTCTTTCTCTCTCTCTCTCTCTTTCTCTCAATTGTCTCCACTCACCGTCTGACTGCTCTGTCTCTTGCATACAGATGAGTCACATATGTTTGCAGCGTGATATACCCATGTTCTTGTGGAGTCCTTACACAGTCACACGTGGCACAAGGCTTACATGCTTTCTGTGCCTTTGTACAACAGTTTAACCATGCATGTGCCGATACCACATGAACCCAAGATTTATTTTAATGCATGTTCCAGGTAATGATGTGGAAAAAAAAAAAGTTTTTACATTCACAGCAAAACTCGTCACCTTGTTGCTTCTACGTTTACACTGTGTTCGTTTGGGTTTCACAGAGGGCACGGCCCCTTTCTTTTCTTTCTTTTGTTTGTAGTCAGCGGCGGAAATGGAAAATACTGTCACTGAGGCAAGCGGCAACCCCCCCACTTCCTGTCTACAAGAAGTTCCTTCGCATACAATTTCCTCTCACTCTGTACTCTCTGTTTCTGTCTCTCTCTTGCTCTCTCTCTCTCTCTCTCTCTTGCTCTCTCCCTGCCCCCCATCTTTCCTATCTGTATTCCCAGACACGCTGGATGATGGGAGGAGAGTAGGAAAAACATTAAACAAGTTTCCATTGAGGGAGAGAGAGACATGAGGGAGGAACAGCAGGAAAATAGTTGGAAGGAATTCCCTACCAGAGCTGAAGTTGTATTTTTCATTTTACATTACAAAAAAAAAAAAAGAAAACAAACAGATAGAACAGAACAGAAACAGCTAGAATAGAATATATAGAATTAGCACATATGTGTGCAATAACAAAGACCCTTTGAGGCAACACGTTGCTTTAAAAATAGAAACGTTATCTGTTTAATACCACAGAGCTGAGGAGTTTGTGATAGAAACATATGGGTTATCAAATTTTGATAATGCATCTCCTGACAGACAAGATTACACCACGTGCTAGTTGGTTAATAAAGTACTGAGGGCCTGCTTATCCTTGCGGTCGTACAGCCATGCATATACTATTTTAAACCTTGATATTATTTATATATTTTGTCACACTGATTCATTTACCTTTCATGCATAGGAAATACTCAATCCACGTGGGTTTAACAACAAAAATTGTATCTTCTTCCTCTCGATCAACGGCTGAAAGTGAAACACCTTTCTTCTTGTTCAGCACATTCTGCTCCTTCACATTTCTTGCCTTTATCACCAGAGCCTACACTGCAACAGTTTTTGGATCTGTCCCCGTATTTGTCCAAACATCTTGTCTCTCTGCCATGTACCTACTGTAGCCCCAAACATTAGACCAGTCTTCATTTAATCTTCCTGTTCAACCACTTTTTATCAATTGCTTCTAAAACTCCTTTTTCTCAGCAAGTGTCGCAAAATGTAGACATTAATGGTTTTCTTACACAAACTATATCCTGTTGTACAAACCCCGTAGATGTCATCAGTTGGACACATTCATGCAAATTGTCTTCCCAGGCTGTGTGCTGATGACAGGCATATCTGATCGCTGTGAAGTGGTGGTCTCACTGTCAACACATTAACACACATGAAGCTTTTCCAAAGGTCACTTCTAGGGCAGGTATTTCTTCCACGTTGTTTGTTTTAAAAATGTCAAACATAAAGTGTGTGTCGTGTACAGTTGTGAAACACAAGTTCTTTATTCAGAAGGTCTCACACACTGGTTAAAGACACAGATGTTTGTACAACTTCTCAGACAAACTTAAGTCTGCACTTTGTGTTTTGGTGTGGAACGTATGTTAAATATACTGTATGTTGTTTAAATACCTTAACCATTGAGTACAATTGTGCATACATTTTGTTTTGTCACTGCTGACAATTTACGACTGCAACTTTAAAAATTTGCCAGTGTTAGTTTAACATGAAAGAAAAATGTAAAATTAAACAGCACAACAGCCTTGTTTCTTCTGTAATATTTAGCAAAATAATGTGTGTATATCAGGGACTATACACTACCAGTCCACACTGGCACAGCTCACCTTTCCCCCATCCCTCTCTCAGACTAAAACACTCTCCTTCTGTCTTAAAAGTTGTGACCGACTGTGCAGACAGGCACAGATTTGCATACCCTAATTCTGGTTGTCTTCTGTTTTACAAAACAAATGATTACCAATTGGTTGGGATTGCATACCTACTGATGCACACACAAACAAACACACAAACATGGAAATGATGTGGGACAAGGCCTAACATATTCCCCATACGGGACGGCACTATTGCAGATCCGGACGGAATCTCAGCAGAAGCCCCAATCAGTTAATCTGAAAACTTCTGATCAGACCATAAACGTATCGATGATGAAGTGGTCCTCGTGGTTGTATTCAGTGATGAGTGTTGTTGTGTCAGTAGGAGCCATCTTTATCATTACCATCATCCATCTTGGCATCAGACTCCTTCAGGTACCGATTTGTTACACTTTTTTTCAGTCAAGTCTAGTGTGTAGCATCCCTGATAGCTTTTGTACCTAGATTTAGCTGTTGTTTTTTTACTTCTGACAGCTTTACACTTGGACGTGATATTATGGAGCTATAATAATGCTACTAACATCAACATCGTAATATTGAAGGCCTTCAGTGTTTATTTTTAATTTAGTGTTTATATTTAAACACAAACCCACCTTTTCTTTTCCTCTTCTCTCCCACCGTCCTCCGATTGCATTTTATTGTCCCTGCCTTCTAAACCTTAAACAAATGACTGTTATTACTGAACCTTGAGGTAGTGCAGAGTCTCCCTCTCTGGAAATAAATGGATGACTCGCCAAGAGGTGGCCTAATATTTATGCTCTGTGGAGATGGGGGAAAAAGTGAGGAGGGCAATGTCATTCAGTGGAGCTCATTTGTTTTCCTAGTCTGTTTGTATAGATCCGTACTGAGTGTCACTATACTGCACTGCGGTGGTAGCTGAGATGTGTTAGCAGCTTTCATTCTGAGGGAATGTTAAATCTTAATTTACAGTTTCATTTTAAAGACTTGTGCTTTTAACTTTGATAAACCGACCTCTGACACCTTTCCTTCTCTCTGATGTCCCACATGCTAAAGTACCAGTGTCCAACATGTGACCTGTACGATGGTGTGTTTTGTTTTTTTTTTATCCACTGAGAAAAGAACCCTCATGTGACTTTGACGTGTGCGTAAGAGTGTGTGTGTGTGTCTCTAACCATAGATAGTCATACTATCAGCTGATCCTGACGATGTGACATGGGAAATAAATTTCTCCTTCTATGGTCCTCCACTTTCTTATCTCCTCTGCTCCCCCCTTTTTTATTCCCTCTGATGAGCAAACCTGAGCTCAGACAAAAGGCAAATTCAAGTTTCTGCCACATCTGCAGGTCAACACAAGTTACGTCACTGCCCAAAGAAGCAGCGTAACTTCACCTGAAACGCTGCAAGCATCAAAGTTTGATTTATGGTTTTTCCAACTGATTTGTTGAAACAAGCAACAAAGTAATGAATACATTTGGAACTTACTTACAGGCCAGTAAAAGTGCGTATAGCTTTAGTGACATGCAGCAAACTAAATTAAGTAGTAAAAAAAATGCATGTGTTAAACACATCAAACAGCCAATGAAAATGTAGGCTTTTTCATGTTCATTGAGAGAAATCTGTACACAAAAGTGTGAGGGAGCATATGACTTCTTTTATAACTGACAGTGTGTTTATGTCTGTGACAAGACTCCTGCAGTCCAATGTGTCCTTGGCAGGGACAGGGAGAACCTTTGGAGTGATACACTGTGTGTGTGTATGTGTGCATGTGTTACCAAGGGAAACCCCATCGTGATCCTCCAGAGTTCAGCTTAGCTGTTCTAAAACAACTACAGGAAAAAAGAAAAAAATCTTGGTTTAAACCAAACAGTGAAAGACTGAAGACAGCTGTCCTCGGGTCAGGGAATCTCCACTGTGTGTTTGTCTCTTACTGAGCTGATCATCAAGACAAAAAAACACACAACAAAATAAGGGCTCCATATCACCCGAGTCGTGAGAAGGGAACTGAAGCACAGTTGCTGTGTTGTGCATGATCTTAAGCAGGCTGCACACAGTCTTCTGGGACAATCAGCCTTTAGAAGATCTGTCTAAAGTCAGAACTAACAGTATGCACACAGACTCTCCCCCACATTGTCATCAATCATGATATTATTGTCTGTGAGTTTCTGTGGTCAGTCTGTCAGACATCAGATGTATACATAAAGCAGTAGATTCATTTATTTTTGTTGTTATGATATGTTAAGAGAATTTGTTTTGTTTTTGTAGCACAAGTCCTGGAAGAAGATAAAGAACATGGTCCACTGGTCTCCCTTTGTCATGTCTTTCAAGAAGAAATATCCCTGGATACAACTGGCTGGACACGCAGGCATGTGGACACAAACACACAAACAAGGGTTTCACATAATATAAACAAAATGATGTTCTCCTTAGTCATCCTGATGATGTAATGTGCATCAAAGTGGGACCAAGATGTCCCACAGCACTGACTTGACTGTGTCCTCTCTTTTAAACAGGCTTAAAAAAGGGATTCTTTATTCTTTATACATCACCCTGTGTGCAGTGAACAGTGATGTTACTGGTGTGAGATAAAATATTGGTCAAAGTAAAGTGAAATAATGTCTTTTTACAGGGAGCTTCAAGGCAGGAGCAAAGGGTCGTATTTTAAAAGTAAGAAGTGTTCATATTATTCCCTGGTATTTATTGTTGTCCACTCTGCTTTTGCACCTCCGTGCCTGAACAGTGCTAACAGTTAGCTTGTGTTGTCCTTTAGAAACACTGTGACTGCGAGCAGCGCTGCTTGTCCCTCCTGATGAAGGATGTGCTCCGTCCGTTTGTCCCCGGCTACCACGGAGATGTAGAGAAGGACGGGCAAAAGTACAACCAGATGGAGGATCTGCTGGCTGAGTTTGACTTTCCTTGTGTGATGGACTGTAAGATGGGAATAAGGTGAGAAAACATCAGAACCACAAGTCAGCGATGTCATTTCCTCTTCACTCTGATCTTCATCTCCCTCCATGTCATGATGCAGAACCTACCTAGAGGAGGAGCTGACCAAGGCGCGGAAGAAACCCACCCCGAGACCAGACATGTATCAGAAGATGATCGAGGTAGATCCTGAGGCTCCAACACCAGAGGAGAACGAGCAGAAGGCAGTGACCAAACCCCGCTACATGCAGTGGAGGGAAACCATCAGCTCAACAGCTGAACTGGGATTCAGGATAGAAGGAGTCAAGGTGAGACCCCCACTTGAATGTGTGTTTGTGGCTTTCCTTCCATTCTTTCTTGTGGTATTCTTTGTGTTTGTGTGTTTGTGTTCTTAAGGGTCATGAGCTAATTTCCTGTTTTGACCATGGACTTCCTCAAAGTATATGTTTGTGCACGAGTTCTTTTGTTGTTCATTACAGTCTGTGTGTGGCAGCTCTATAGGCCTTAGCACCTAGTACTGACATGACACACACACACACACACACACAAACACGTGCATGTATGCACTCAGACACACAAATCTCCCTCTATCTTCACTCGAGGGCCGTGGCTATATAAGGACATTCACGGCCTCCCGGTGGTCTGTTGCCATGACACTAAAGGTTATCCCCAGAAACAAAGTGTGTGTCTGTGTGAAAGTGAAAGACAAAGACAACTGTATCTGCACTCATACTCTATTCTCAAATGGAAAGAGCTCTGGCCTCGTTGCATGGCAGCCATCGGTAGAAAAAAAAAAAGCAAATCTTTATTTTTGCTCTGAATGAACCGGCTGCTTTGTCACAGCTGCTCGTACTGCTCCTGATAATGTTGGATGCTGTGACTACTAGTGTTCATGTGCTAACATTACAAATGCAACAACTGAGATGAAGTTGAGTTTTTTTCACCAAGATGAAGGTGTCTTCTTGTTTTGGTTTGATAAACTGCAGTAACTGTACAGAGGAGGACAGTCGGTAGTGACAAAGAAGCAGAAGAAAGTAGTCTAAGAGCATAAGTGTTGCTATATGTAGAAGGAGCAGCTGAACTGAAAAAAGAAATGGTTACAACAGCTGTTACGTAATTGGCCATTCAAAATAACTATAAAAAGATTCTGATTTATGAATCAGCAAATTTTATTATAGTGATGACTGCAAATATTGTTGTCTTTTAGTTAGGTTTAGTTCAAGAAATTATTAAAATTATGATGAAAATAGATTTATCCTTGCTTAGATAATGAAATATTTCATTGATGTTAATATACTGAATATAATATGTAATATAATAACATTAGTTTTTGCAGTGCATGTGTTTTTCAGTCACTATGATGAAGACTTTTTCTTGTCATGAGCTTCTAAAAATATTCCTTTTCCACTAGATACATTTAATGCTGTCTCTTCTGGATCTTCTCCATCCTCACATCCTATGTTTTGCCTCCTCCCCATCACTCTCTTTGTACAAAATGCCTGGAACTTGTAGCAGTAAATATAAACACTTACTGACATTGTAAAGCCTACTGCGCTATAACATCTGTCATACGGTAACAGAGCGTATTGTGCGTAGATGTCATTTTTCATCAGTACCTCAGGTTTTCTGCCTCATCCTTTACTCCTTGGTCTCCACTGCAGAAGGAGGACGGGACGGTGAACAGGGATTTTAAGAAGACGAAAACGAGAGAGCAAGTTGCCGTGGCCTTTAATGACTTTGCCAGGGGAAATAAGGATATACTGGTAAGTGTGTGTATATACGGGATGTGCCTAATGTATACAATGTGCAGTAACTGTATATACATGGGTGACCAGAAGCACAATGTCATGTTGGCAGCCATCGGTAGAACAAAAAAAAAACTATTCCAAACATACATTTTCTACAAAAAATATAATAATGGCATAGTATTTTGTGTAGCGTTATTTTTAATGATTTTTGATTGATGATTAAAATTTCTGTGTTGTTAATGTTTTTATTTTATTTTATTGTATTTTAGAATGGTTATTTAAGCAGACTAAATGAAATCAGAGACACTCTGGAGACCTCCCCCTTCTTCAAAACTCATGAGGTGAGAAGTTTCTCAGTCTGTATATGAGTCCTATTCTGTGCACGCACGTATATATAGATTAACGGCGCTAATAATGTTCCTAACTGATAAAAAATGAAGACCTGTTTTAAATAATATATATAATAAATAATAAAATAATAATCAGGTGTTATTATGTTATATTGTTATATATATATTTTAAAATTAATAAAACATTTTTTAAATTATTTAACATTCAGACCAAACAAAGTATTGCAGTATTCTTGAAATACTGCAATTTGTGTATACATTCATCTGCTCATATAGTGGTTATGATTGACATTTGTTTCTTGGGTTCATTTTTTAGTTCTTAAATACCTTTCACTCAGTAGTGTTTTTCCTGTTTACACATCAAGCCAAAACCATTTGAACCGTCTACGTCACATTCACACATACATTCATACGGCAGCTGTTATACAGTATCTGCAGCTATTTTTCTGACACGTTTTTCAATCCCTAGCTTTTCTGCTATTTCTGTTGTTTGTACTTTTTGTGGCAGTGAATGTGCATTATTCACATGCCCAGGGAAATATCTAACAAACAAACAAACAGAGTATTTTCATAATTGTGGGTCAAACTTTTTGGCTTCTTTGTTGGTGTTAATACAGTAGAAGTAATTGAACCAGGAGGTCACACCTGTGTAAAAGGTCAGGCCGAGATGCTGTGAGAGGGGCAGGAGGGATGGAGCTGAACACCAGACCAGCCACGCCCACCATGCCTGCACCCCAAAGGCAGAATGCTGTGTAAACAGACACTGCAGCAGCATTTTGTTCAGATCCTGTGTACAGTACGTATACAGAGGAGGCCTAAAGGAGGAAATCCTGGTGGAAATGTACAGCTATCAATGTAATAATCATTATAATTATGGTACATTTCAGTGGCCTTATGTTTATATCAGAAACTTAGACAGTTTGCTCCACCTGCTGACTCACTGTTACCTTAAATCTGTCTTACACATTTTCACCTATTATTGAGAAATAAATTGTGTTGCATAAATACTAGAGATGTGCACTGCAACCAATACCAGTGTATCTATCAAAACATTTGTTTTGCAGAGGCACTAATACCCTGATTTGTTTGTCTCTCCACAGGTGATCGGCAGCTCCTTGTTATTTGTTCATGACAGTAAAGGACGGGCCAAAGTCTGGATGATTGATTTTGGCAAAACCACACCTCTCTCTGACGGCAAGGAACTAACCCACCGAGCATCATGGGTTGAGGGCAACCGAGAGGATGGCTACCTGGTTGGACTCGACAGCATGGTGGACATAATTTCATCCATGTTAAACTCTGAGGACTGATGAGTGAGGGTGGTAGATAAACACACAGACTTTACTTCCTGTCATTCACAACACTTTGGATTTCTCTCAGAGGTTCTCTTACGCACCTCCCCTGCAATCCCGTGTCCAACAACAGTGCGGGGCTGAGACATGAATGGACACAGTCTGTCCCTGAACCACATTTAAACTCTACTTCTTCCCTATTCATTTTCTGCCAAATCCTGAAGGGCATTCCTTCTGCACAATGGACATTGTAGGTTGTCAAAGCAGGAGAAACAATACTTCCACCACAGCTCCTTCATTCCATGGCATCTATTATGTCTCCGGTGCAGCATTATAGTTGTCTTTACGAAAAAAAAAGAAAAGTTAACATGTCATATGCACAAAATGCATTCAATTTAAATGCAGTCCGGTTGATTTATAGGACAGAAAGACAGGGTGTGAAGGATTTGAATTATTTATTTTATACAAAAAATTTTGAAAATCTCCCTGCTGCTTCTATCTTTAGCAGAAAGGTTTTTTTTTTTTTTTAAATGGGGTGGGGATGCTACAGAATGACTGATTAGAAAATCCTTTTATCGTTGCTGCCCTCTAGTGGCTCATTTAAAAAGAACACTATAAATTAACTTCAAAATTTAAAAGCAATCCATAAAATTGTGAAAAACGTACAACTCTTTTTAATGTACACACCAAACACATACTATCCATTTAAATTGTATAATAACTTGAACTGAACATGTTCATCATATACTTCTTGAAACTCGCCTTTAGTATGTGCAACATTTATTAGAAGAAAGAATTCTAATATTTATGTCACATGTAATTTTCTTTTTGTTCTAATGTCTTTGTTAGTCTATAACAAAACTTCTCCTACATTGTTCTAACCTCTCAGAGTTGAACCACAGATGGGTCTCTTAGTGGGTACAGTACTGTCAATGGAAGTTGGAAGCCAAATTGGTGAAATGGCAACATTTTGCAGTTGCATAAGAAAATGCATTTTGATGAGATGTTAAAACTGTGCAGTGACACTCCTCATCTGCCATGTATTTTTAGAATAACCTTGTTAACGTTAAAGTGTGGGACCCTCACAGCCTTGAAAAATCTTATTTAAGCTATAAAGTGCCTTGACATTACAAAGCCAAGTCTGAACATATGTCAATATGTAAAAAAACAAAAACAACTTTTCTTTTAGTCCTAACTGTCAGTTATGACTTAACATGGGTGCATGTTTATTATCCTCTTTAAATTTAGGCTTAATATTTAGTTAATTTTTTTATTATTTATAACATTTTAGTGTGTGTTTTGTTGCAGTAGTTAATGGGATACTGTGAGGATTTTTAAATCCTGGGCTGAAATGTTAAGGTTTAATTTAAAGGTTTCATATTTTTAACATTAGGTCAAACAATAGGTCTGTTAGTTAATACAGTATACAGTAGTGATAAACCATTCAAACTGTTGGATGTGGCCGCAGAGAGGATTAATGATGTCTATTTACTGGGGTGTAAAGTAAGAAACACATCAGTGGGCGTTCAAGCCATCGATGGTCAAAAGTTAAAAAAATTGCCATCAAAAATGATTTTACCATTGTGGGATATACACTTATTGGCACTTATTTATGAAACGTTTGATATTCAGGGTGCTTGCCTGCATGTTTTAAGTTCATTTCTGTGCTGGTGGGCAGAATTTGTTAC